CGACCCCCGTGGCCAAAATTCTTTCAAAATCATGCAGTTTTTCACCATTTTGAGCACTTCTCAAGTGATTTTAGCCATAATTGGGCCAAAATTGTCAAATGTGAACCCCCTCTGGAATTTTTTGAAAACTGACCCCCCCCCCCCCCCCCTTAGCGAATCCTGGCTACTGGCCTTGTAAATATATAGATTCGAATATACTGTTAGTTCATACATTACTGCGATGACATGATTGTATCTGACAGTGATAGTAATGAAACTGAAAGTCAAGGATAAGTAATAATCAGGATCAATAAATGGAAATTGAATTAAGGTTGATAAACATGCATTAGGTGAGGCTTGAAGGCCTTGAAGCTCTGGATAGGTTATACGAGAAAGCAAGTACTATTTCATTATGGCCAGAGCGCCCATAGCCCCACAGCCCCATGCCCCCATATGCATAGACATGTCGCAAAACGGTGGCGCATTTGTATTTTAAGGGTATCGCGTGAATGTAACTTTGATTCCCCGGATTATAAGATAATATTCTAATTATATAGTTATATATCATTTTAAAGCTGTTTCGATAAAGTTTTTAGATCAACTACACTCCGTTCACGATTCTTGCGCGTTCTTTTTTATACTCTATACTCAATAATGTATAATATATCAATGTTTTGTCACGGAAATATTTTCACGATGATGTGAGAAAGAATAAGTTTCATTAGGTGTTACCGAGTATATGATGAATAAATTTTCCACCAGAGATGATTGCCTGTTCAATATGCTAACTGCTTTTCGAAAAATAAATCATGACGTTCTGTAGATTAAGTAAGTCCAACTTTTTCTTGAAAAATGGTCGCCATTTTCGCCATTTTCTTGCTTTGGGATGTACCCTGGACAGTTGAAAATGGTAAACATTAATACTCCCAATCTGTCTCTTCAAACTGTAAAGTACATAGTATAACTACATGTATTAGTGTTTCTGTGCGTTTAAGAAAAATTTAAATACTCCAAATAGAGGAGTTTCTCGCAAATTCTCGTTTTTTATGTGATTTTAAGAGATTTGCAACTTTTATTTCTTTTTAATAGCATATTTGAATTCAGTGAAAAGTTTTCTCCAATAATAGCTTTGATTTACACAGTTATGTCATTTAAATCATTTTCTGCTGCAACGGAGTAGGAATGCTTCATTTCTATGTTTTAGTTTGTTTTTTATTAAATCTTGCCATTTTTATGAATGTTGTTTTACATTTTTGCTCCAGAAGTAATGAAGCAATTTTAGTAATATCACACGTAAAATACTTGCAAGTATGACATTTTATTTTGACAATCACGTAGCCAAATATGATGGACATTTTGAAAAATGCCGTCAGTCAGTTGTGTTAGTACAATGGGATTGCCGGTTATCTAGTTATACGCCGTGCATTATATTATATAACATATTTTCCGCTCATTGGTGCTCTTAACGACATGATTCATGAGAACTGTGAAAAAACAATCAATTACTCCGTGAAAACATCAGATGCTCCGCCATGACTAGAGATGTAATAAAAAAACTCCACTAACTTGCGCGTTAACTAAAACTGATTGGCATTTGACGAGGTCGGGCTCCTGTATTGAAAGGGATAACTGCCAATCTCCCTAATGCCTTAGGGATTAGATAGAAATCGAATTTTAAGGATACTGATAGAGTGTTAATGACGTCCAAAAGGTAACTGACAAAAACAATAACTTTAGAGAGGGCGTCTACGGTCCTCAATTAACCTCGTATGGTTTTGAACGAAAGAACGCTTCTAACTTACACTGACAAAAATTCACAAAATCCAAACTAAATTACAATTAAAAGATCGATCAACTGCAGCACGAAGTATATATTGCATGGAGCTGATCCCCGGGCAGGGAGTACAGTGGGTCGAGTGAGGTTCATTAGATCTGAAGGGAATCATGTATCAATATATGCTGACAATAAGAAGATCCATTTGATTACATCAATGAAGCATACATCATACTTTCATATTATTTCAGTCATCAAACGCATCTAAAGTTGTTTACCATCTTATTAAGAGTTATGAGAACTTAATTTTATGTGTGACATTTAAGTTTATTCATCAGTATTTTACTATCATGTTCATTATAAATAACGTACTTTATTTATTGCATCTCATTTTCAAAATGTCCTTGCCATTTTCGACTGCATGATAATATTGTTAATGGTGAAAAAAAATCGAAGTAATAATAATTACGATATTTACGATATTCACGAGTGTAACTAACGGCTGTCGGCTACCGTATTAACCTACTCATTTAATTATGAATAGTACCTGCCACTATTCCATTCATATTTAAATAAGTTGGTCATAAAATAGCATGCTAATCCGGTAGCCGACAGCCGAGAGTTACTACAATCGTGAATACAAGTTTGTCGTTCAAGCAATTACCACATATGGTATTTCATATAACTGTTTTTAATATTTTGGCCCTATCAATATTTCATTTCATTATACCCCATCCACAACGACAAGACACGGTGATTAATATTGCACTATACCAAGCATGCCCAAAATTTCAGATGTTGGCACTAGTGTTTGCTCTTGCATCAAAGTTGAAAGAATTAGTCTTAGATTGATGAAAAGATGTATGTGGCGCCCGCCAGATGCACGCCCATCAGCGCAAGGTGTTAACAATAGATAGCGCCGACGAAATGCGATGGAATAGGCAAAGGAGTCTTGCATCGATCTATTGACGCTCGCCCTTTCTTATTCCATATACCCATACCTTTAGCAGTAATGTTTTGGGAAAGTGAGAGCTCGATGCAAGACTAGGGGCAAAACCCGAATCTCTGAAAACATACCGGGTTTGGAACATTGGTTTTGTGAAATACCTAAATATTAATCACAAATGTATCGCTATGTTTATATCAGTTCATTTTATGATATGGGTTGTTTGACATTGTTTCAGTCGTTTATAAAGCCTTACCGTTCCACGGGTTGGTGAGGAAACCTCATTGGAATATACAATCATCTCAGTAAATCTATTTAGTCGAACCTCATCAGTTCTCATATCAAGAGGTTCCATCTTTTATCCAATAGTCACACAATCCCTGTGTTTTATTCCAGACGGGGTGAAGAATGACACTGGTTTTGTCAACATGCACAAGAATAAGGAAAGCCCCAGAGCTTAAGAGATAACAGACCATGGGCGTAGCGCCTATTACGCAAAATACGCACAGGCGTTCCAAATGAATTTGAAAAAAAATCAAAAATGTGTTAAAATGCTCTGATTTATTTGCGAATTCATTGATGCTCCCTACCATATCTGTATTTTTCCATTGTAAACATTTAAAGTTGATAAAAACGCTTAGATTCCATCAAATAACGTCCTTGAAAAAAGATTTCCCGGGGAGAATACCGTACGTAACTTAAGCGAGGTATTAAATTGACGAATCTGTTGTCTTCTTCTATTTGTTCGCAAACATGTACATTTTCTTAAACATATGATACTGACACACGTTTGTAAAAAAAACTTCGTGAGAATTCTCCCCACAACGTGGGAAATAAGGAAAAATAAAAATCATAGGTTCCGACTTTTTGTTACTGAAACGGCGCGTAATCGAGTGGATTGCCAGTGACTTTAAAGCTCTGTAACTTTAGTATTCGTAAACTGAACACTTAGCGTACAAAAAAGTTAGACAATTCAATTTTCTATATTTTTGGTGAATCTTTTACTGGATAGATATCCTGGAGCAACTATCGTATAATATAAGTCGTCCATCTTGGCGCATGTTTCTGTGAGAAAGCGCGTCTATGAAAATTTAAAAATACTATGAAAAATATTTTTAGATTCCTTGGTTTTAATATTTCACAAAAGGCTAGTCAAGAGACTGGACATAGATGAATTAGAACATTTAATTTCATCGGCTAGATTATAAATTCTATCATTAAATTTAATGGCGTCTGGTCAGTTTAGTTTCATCAAATTTCTCTGGTACTCCCTGGCACCCTGTTTAAATATTTGTATAAAATTGTTCATTTTCTCGTCCTTTTTCAAGACGGTTGATTTTGGGTCAAATATGAATCAAAATGCAGTTTCAGATAACTGCAATATCATATAAACATATTGGTCCCATCACTCTCTGATTTCGAATCCGTTCACTTTTATAAGACACAATCTCAATTATGAACAAAAACACCCCCAGGGAGTCCGATAACACAATGCTGTTTCTAGGGGGTTTCTAGGCATGTGATTATGCGGCCGAGTGTTTATATTTGCTTAAAGTGTCAGGTGAACTGGCCTTGTTATCATAACAGAGAGCTCTTTACTTTCTTGTGTCAACTGTAACTGAAGTGATTCTATTCTTATGTACAATTAATGAATTGATATAATTAAGTGAATATTATGTTAACGTCTATGACAAGGAACGTTACACAATAACGCTATTTCTATAGTGTTTCTCTGCAAGGTGGTTGCTACTACTCTTGTTTAGAATGGATTCCTTTTCCAATTTTGTTTATATTTTAATTCTTAGAATACACTTTTCCAGGCAAAACCGTGTGTCATAAAGATCAATTTGAGAGTCTCGAGAAGGTAAAAATAAAAGCTGCGTTACCTCCTTTCCTGGCCCGTTCAAATTACTAGCAATTCAGTGAACAGGAAAATCGCGTATTGCATATGAATGTTTGTCTGTGACTTAAAAAGTTAATCGTCGTTCAATAAAATACACCATTGGCAAACTATGACTCGACTATTTACTTCTATATTTTATTCACTGGTACTCTATCCACTGTTGTATGTTTATTTAAATATCTTATCAAAACTCTAGTTCAGTTTGACCGTGGTTTAAATTGGTCAATAATGTAAGGATCGTTTCTATGAGCACAAGGATTAATCTCTCTATAACGGAGTCACAATACAATATTGATCACTTTAGTTGCACTTAGTCAGCAACAGTTTTGCCAAGTCATTGTTAACTTAGTTCCATAACGACTAGAACATACCGACCAGTTTAAAGCTACCTGGAAATTGAAAATATATGTTTTGTAAGGTTGTCATGTGCATTTAAACGCATACGGTCATTTTAAAAGTTAAAAAAAGTCCAAATTTCATTTTTGCTCACATAATTTGTAAACAGTAGAGGATTAATCACAAACAGGATGGGTTGTGGTGGATCTAAGTCGACAGAGGTGAAGGAGATTAAACAAAATGGAAATGTGCAAGAGAGTAAGCAGAAAGAAGAAGCAAAAATATCAAAACAAGGTTCGTTTAGTTTTTTGTTTTTGTACATTTGTTTTTGTGTGTTGTATTATTTAGTACGGCAAGACGTATCTTACCTTAGGTCAAGGTCACAATGAAAGTTCAACTCACCCTGTGTATTGTTGTTTAATAATCCGATTGAGAAGGTGCACTACAAGAATAGGATAAATCACTATATAAATATACTAGAACATTTGGGTGTACACCTTTTGGTAATGCCTGTGTCACATTTGCTCCGATTCAGTGTTTTGTTCAAAATTGTATTCAGTTTGGAACGAAAAACTCAATCGGCCGGGCGCTGGCCGATGAGTCGCAGCAAATGTCCAGGACCAATGGTCGTAGATTTGTGAAAAGTATTGAATGTTATCTTGTTGATTTAAAATGTAATCCTTAAATACCTAAAATGATTTTACTTTTCAGATCCTATACCAAAAGGTCCTTATAAACTAACTTATTTCGATGGTCAGGGTAGGGCAGAACTGACCCGGGTGATCTTTGCATCACAAGATATTAAGTTCGAAGATATTAGAGTAAATTTCAAAGACTGGCCTGATATGAAACCAAGTAAGTTTAAGAAGTAGTTCTGCTATAGACTTGTGTCAAACACACTTTTTCGATATGAAAATAAACTTACTACTGTCATAAAGGAAATATATCCAATTTATTTGCTTTATCCAATGCCATTTAGAAACAAATTATTGACATATAGATAGTATTTCATATCCCAATGAAAATTCAGTAATTTTCTTCTTGATGAATGCCCATCGGCATTTTTTAAAAGTCTTAAAAGTGGGCACCATTATATAGGATAATCTTGGATATTTAAAACAGTGATAGAATTTAGAAATATATCATTCTGTCTAGTATAGTTAGAATTCGCGTAACCAATACACACTATGTATGTTCCGATGGTATGGTTCTTTAAATTCTTACATTTACTCTCTCGTAGCGACCCCTATGGGAATGTTACCCATATTGGAAGTGGAAGGAACAAAAATATGCGAGAGCCAGACCATTGCACGCACAGCTGCACATATAGCAGGTAAAAATATTCATTGCACGCACAGCTGCACATATAGCAGGTAAAAATATTCATTGCACGTACAGCTGCACATATAGCAGGTAAACGTTTTATTCGTAGCATACAGATGTACATGTATATATAGCAAGCAAACATCCCATGTTTACGCATAGTACGCACTGCTACACATAACAAGATAATATTTCGTTTTCTAGTCGTTGTATTTACATATGCACGTACATGTATAACGATTTTGTTTTCCCCATTGCACCTAATGTTACACATGTAAAAGATAAACATCTCGATGTATAAATTTTATGTTTCGATGAATTATATTTTTGTTTCTTAAACAAGGTATTGCCGGTGAAACCGATCTAGAAAGAGCACAAGCGGATATGATCGTGGATAACTACTCTGACATGCTCAATACCATGTTAAAATGGATGGTCGCAAAGGATCCCAGTGAAAAGGTGTGTTTGTATTTTGACCCACTGATAAAATCCAATATACGTTTCTTTATGTGGCGTACAACATGCGCGTAACTGTATTATTGTAACTCTCTGTATTAGTAAATAGATATAAGACAAAAAACTACTATTTAAAGACATCATGCTCACATTTGAATATTATCTTACGAGAATAGAATACTAGTACTATATTGAATTCAAATTTCTTTTGAATGAAATTTGATTGTAATACCTAACTTTTACTGATTTAGGAAGAATGTCAAAAACGTGTAAAAGAGACTATCCCTGTGGGTTTAGCAAATATTGAGAAGATCCTGGTGAACAATGGGGGTGTTGGATTCATAGTTGGAAGCAAGGTATGATATGTGAATTATAAACAGAGATTACCTACTGGAAGGGATTGAATATGGGTTTTATCCCAAGGGACAATACTATATGATATTTCACAGACAGTATGATATTTCAGGATTGTCTCTTGGATACTATATATCACATATTCACGTGTAAACATTTAGTGTATTTTTGAATGTTGATTAATTTTAATGGACTTTATGGCTGATATTGTTTTGATATCAATAGGATGAATATGATATCCCATGGCTTTCTCCATGGGCTTTCAATATTGAATGCCTATGCTTTTTCGAACTATCATTTTATCCACTCGTGGATATCTCCCATCTTCATTCGAATTGAATAATATGGATGATTTGATGAGAATATATTTTGGATATTTACTCATTTCACGATTATCAATGTCTTCATATTAATTCAGGTGATTACAATTTCAGTTGACATGGGCAGATATCGCATGCATGCTTCTCATGGATGATTGGGTAGCTGGGGGATTTTACACAACGGAATGGCCTACGCTCGCCAGACATGCTCAACGCATCCGGGAAATACCAGCCATTGCAAAATGGATACTGGGGCGACCAAAAATGACACCACCAACGACGGGGACACCATCGCGAGAAGTGACACCTTCACCCGATGTAATACCACCTACAGAAGTGACACAGCAACAAGGTAATCTCGCGAGATCTTAACGCACGTTTGATCACAAATAACATGGAGGTGAACGTAACCTTAAAAATGGTCTCTTGTTGATAAATCAAATGTTAGCAGTTTAGTTTTAAAATTCTTTTTTCTGTGTATGAATGAAATGTTCCTTTACTTGGTGTTATGATCTTGAATGGTGATAATGGAACTTCAATAGTAGGCTAGACATTGTTTCTTTTCACAATGGATTATAGTTTGGGATAGTTGGTATTGGTATACACTTTTTTTCTTGCTAGGTTCTGTCACAATTTTTGGTCCATATCATTTGGCAGTTGTGCGTACATATTTACTTATATAATTATTGCTCTAGTATCAATGTAAGTAAAGAAAATACATGGATGACAGACTGATTGATTGTCAGTATGTGTTTTGATATGCCTTGTATTTTATGACAAAACTTATATGTGAATATGCGATATTATTTTAGCTTCTGAATCTGTAACTACGGAAGATATCCCTGAAGGTCCGTATAAACTGACGTACTTCAACCTCCGGGGTAGAGCAGAATTGACCCGGATGATCTTTGCCTCCAAGGGTATAGAATACGAGGACATTCGAGTTGAGTTTAAAGATTGGCCTGAAGTGAAACCAAGTAAGAGAGTTAATTATATATAACCATTTTAAACGGGATGAACATAAATTGCGCGTTATGTTGAATTAAGATTCAAAACAATGTGTACCATCTTACGTAAAACGGGTTTTTGAACGATATAAATCACCTCAGACGCGAGTTCTTCGAACAACCAACGACAACAAACTACCAGGCTCAATTAGTAAAAAACTTGGAAACGGGAACAGTTATTGCTCAATGATAACCTTGTGGAACCGTCTTCTAAGAGACCATAAGGAAACGAACAGCTTCTCACTTTTAAAAACAACAACTAAATGATCACCTCACTAAAAACATCGAACCTACAATTTCAACCTCCTATTTATGCCTTGGTCACATTAGCTCCAATTTTCACTACGGCATCCGGCCGATTGAGTATTTTGTCCAAAATTGAATACAATATTGAACAAAACACTCAATCGGCCGGGCGCCGGCCGATGGATCGGGGAAAATGTGACCCAGGCATAACAGCACCTTGATAGAAAAGAAGAAACAGTACTAAATAAGATAAGAGTAAATCGATATTTTAAATCCGATCTTTTTTACCATAATTTCTCTTTCATTAACGATCCATATTGTGACTGTGGAGATCGAGAGACAGCACAACATGAAGTCTTGTCCTGCCCTCTGAGAGAAACAAAAAATGCGCTAGCGTTGGTTAAACGTAAACTCAACTTAGATGTAACTAAATACAAAACATTAAAAAACAAGACAAATTTCCTACATTTTGGCGACAAGGATCTGACAAATGAAAACAATTTCAAATTTTTTAAGGCAGTTTTAAATTTCATTAAACACAATTAATTAAACATATGCGATAACAATAATTCAAATTCAGGGCACTAATGGGGGTATAGAGAGGTAGAAAAACAGAGTGTATTTAAACTTTATTTTTTTATACTAACTATGGCTAAATGTAATTATATTGTAATTTAGATTCACTTAAAGCGGCAGAAGAAATGCCCTTTCTGGGGCGATTCTCCGTAATTAAGATGTAAAATTTATGATTTTTATGAAATAAAGAGTTTTTTTTTTTAATTGAACTTTTCAAGAAAATGATGAATTACTTGTAGAAAACATGTTTATACTTTTGCAACAAATATACCATTAATTGATTCCTATTTAACTTTTTTGAATAGCAACCCCACGGGGATATTTACCGTTACTTGAAGTCGGGGGCGTCACTATTTGCGAGAGTCAGACAGTTGCACGCACTGCTGCACATATAGCAGGTAAACATATTTATAATGCTACAGCTGCACATATAACAGGTAAACATATTTATAATGCGCATAGCTGTACATATAATAGGTAAATATATTGATTTTACTCATAACATACACATCTGCATTCGACACATACATTTATGATAGATTCAGGAGATGGATGTACGAACAAATTGTCAATACTTATATACGATTCCACGTTAAAGTTTCCATATCTACATATTCACCCATTTTGCCCATTCGTTTCAGGAATCGCTGGTGAAACAGAACTGGAAAGAGCGCAAGCGGATATGATCATTGACTGCTACAGTGATATTTTCGACAGTGTTGTAAACGTATTTTTTGAAAAAGATCTAACTACAAGGGTACGTCTGGATTTTGTGCAATCAGCAACGAAATGTTCTTAAATATATACGTTTTGATTTAAGTGGAGCAACTTCAGAGTATTAATAAAATGGATATCGTAAAAATGGATATGAAACCTGAAATTAAGTTTTACATGCTTTGTGCCAGGGTCTCAGTGAATTTTCAGGTCACTTTTTGATTGCACTTAATTTTTATACACATTTAGTTTACATTGATAGGGAGGCAGGCATCGGGTTAAAAAAGCACAATTTCTTTTATTCATAGAAAACATCTACGTCATGTTTTTTATGCGTGTAGCATGTTTGCTTTTTAGAATGAACTTATAGCAAAACTTAAGACTCAGACACCAGAGGGCCTTAAAAATCTCGAAAAGATCCTCGTGGATAATGATGGAGGCGATGGATTCATAGTAGGAAGCAAGGTACAATATTTATTTATGTATTTTTAATAGCATGTTTTGTATCTCAGCTTATATACAATAAAACTCAAAAATTTATCTTTATTAAGCGAATTAAAAAGTTAACCTTTCAACTTGAGCACTCCTGTGTAAGATGAACACCTCTGTAACGTGAACACCTCGACATATCGCCTTTTGATTCATTCATTTGGCTTTTAAGTCAGTTCCACCTCTAAAATATGAACACCCCAAAAATTAATTAAAACGTTGCAAATACATTATATACGTACAATACATTACACTATTTGCCTTTTTATGTATTTTACTTCAGTTGACTTGGGCAGATATAGCATGCATGTTCATATTGGATATCCTCCATAAAATGATGCCGGAAGCTGGTGTTGATTTGGATATGTCTGCACTATGTCCTCAACTAACGAGTCATTCTGGACGTATATGCGGAATACCCGCCATCGCGAAATGGATAGATGAACGGCCGGCAGAGGAACCTCGGAAGTTACCCATCCTACAAGGTAGTTAAATATTTTCATCTAATATTGTCTACTTGACTTATTTGAAATTGAACATTGTAAATGAGATATAGGGTCAGGGATCTCAGGTGACTCGAATCCATGACCTCTAATACCAACGACATCTTCGACTACCACGACTATGAAGGGTTTAAAATTAGCATTCAATTAAAATAGATTTAGTGTCTTGACAAATCATCTCAAATCTAGTGAAGCACCAGAATAATTTAAAAAATATACTCTTACAAAAATTAACTTGTCGTTCTGGACCAATCAACCGATAGCAACCCCGGTGGCAACCACTCCAACTCAAATGTCGCAAACATGCATCACAGTGGTACCTTTGCACGCACACGTTTTAGACAATCAACTTCTATTTCTCCATTTCAGCTCCCATTCCTAAAGGTCCGTATAAACTGACGTACTTCAACCTCCGGGGTAGAGCAGAATTGACCCGGATGATCTTTGCCTCCAAGGGTATAGAATACGAGGACATTCGAGTTGAGTTTAAAGATTGGCCTGAAGTGAAACCAAGTAAGAGAGTTAATTATATATAACCATTTTAAACGGGATGAACATAAATTGCGCGTTATGTTGAATTAAGATTCAAAACAATGTGTACCATCTTACGTAAAACGGGTTTTTGAACGATATAAATCACCTCAGACGCGAGTTCTTCGAACAACCAACGACAACAAACTACCAGGCTCAATTAGTAAAAAACTTGGAAACGGGAACAGTTATTGCTCAATGATAACCTTGTGGAACCGTCTTCCAAGAGACCATAAGGAAACGAACAGCTTCTCACTTTAAAAAAAACAACTAAATGATCACCTCACTAAAAACATCGAACCTACAATTTCAACCTCCTATTTATGCCTTGGTCACATTAGCTCCAATTTTCACTACGGCATCCGGCCGATTGAGTATTTTGTTCAAAATTGAATACAATATTGAACAAAACACTCAATCGGCCGGGCGCCGGCCGATGGATCGGGGAAAATGTGACCCAGGCATAACAGCACCTTGATAGAAAAGAAGAAACAGTACTAAATAAGATATACTCAAGGGGCGAGGAGGGAAATTCTCAATAAATGGTGTATAGTTGGTTTGGCAGTATTTTCAGTTAGGGGAGAGTCTTTGATGAAATTTCCACCTAGGTGATAGCTTCGCAGAGTGGTAGGAAGTTCTTTTTTTTGAGGAGTTAGTCCCCCACCCCCCAAAAACACCCAACCCTGGGGAAAAAATTGTTCACACTAAATAACCTTAGATATTTTGATGTTTGTAAGTGACATACATAGATATTATATATATGAATAATTTGCAGTATTATTGATGCTGATTACTCCTAAGGAATTTGAATATCAGTACAAAGTGTGTACCCCAGGGGGCAAATTCGTGACTCATTTTCTTACTGTTTTGATTCTAACTTTTCAATTAGACACTGTAAGAGGTTGAAAAAATTCATGTGAAGTGCCTAATAGCAGGGTTAGTACCCCTGAAAGTTGCAAAGCCATGGAAGAAGTAGGAGCTGAGAAAAAAATTGTTGATTTTTCGAAAAATTTGACATTTTTGACAACTGGATTTTGTGTAGGACTATAGCTGACCCCTATAGTTTCTAGATCCATCCCTCTATGATGATATTTATGGTTTCATAGTGTGGAATAAAGATGTAAAACATAATTTAGATGGGTTTTAAGGAAGTTAAAGGTTTTAAACAAGTCCAAAATTTGAAAAATTGTAAATATAAGGTTTCAAATTTACGAATTCCAGGTATAGCCATGGCTGACCCCTATAGTTTCTAGATCCATCCATCTTTGATGATATTTATGCTTTCATAGTGTGAAACTAAGATGTAAAACATAAATTAGATGGGTTTTAAGGAAGTTATAGGTTTTAAACAAGTCCAAAATTCGAAAAATTGTAAATGTAAGGTTTCAAATTTACGAATTCCAGCTATAGCCATGGCTGACCCCTATAGTTTCTAGATCCATCCCTCTTTGATGATATTTATGGTTTTGTAGTATGGAACTAAAGATGTAAAACATAATTTAGATGGGTTTTAAGGAAGTTAATGATTTAAAACAAGTCCAAACTTTGAAAAATTGTAAATATAAGGTTTCAAATTTACGAATTTTAGGTATAGCCATGGATGACCCTTATGGCTTTTTCATCAATACTTCTATGATGAAACATATACTTTTAGAGTGTGAGACTAAGATGTAAAACATACTGAAGATGAATTTAAAGGAAGTTTAAGAATTTTAACAAGTGCAATATTTGAAAAATTGAGAAATATCAGGTCTCAAAGGAGCACGGAAAGTATCGCAACAGATTTCAGACAGTCATATGTTGGATTTTGTCTGTTTTCTGAGGATTTAAGCAGGTGCATATGATAGGCCATTGCATTACCTACGGGAAAAGAACTCTTAGAGATGATAAAATAGTTTGGAATTTGAGACAGCGAAGGTGAAAACAATCCACCCACATGTTTTTTGGGAAATGTCCTGATTTTCAACCCCGTTCACCCCTGGTTTTTCAATTTTTGTTGCATCAATATGTTGCGTTTTGAGACATAGTTAACCATTAAAAGGATAAATTTCTTTTAGATAAAGCGGAAAACAATATTTTCCTGTTATTTTCCCATAGGGAAAACTCATGTGATCCATTGCTTTCAGCTTAATTTTGGTCACCCATATTTGATATCTTTAAAATCTCTGATGGAATGTATTTTTCATTTAAAGGGGTTAACTGTATGTAAAAACACATATATTTATACATATACACATATATATTTATGCATGTGGGTGGGTTGTTTGCACCTTCTCTGTCTCAAAATAGAAATTATTTTATCATCTCTATGGGTGCTTTTCCTGGAGGAAATGCATTGGCCTAACATATGCACCTCCTCAAATCCTCAGAAAATAGCCAAAATCCAACATATGATTGCTGAAATCTGTTGCGATACTTTCAGTCCTCCTTTACGATTTCAGGTATAGCCCTGGATGTCCCTCTTTTTGAATGTATGACTTAGCTTAGAAATTAGATGTTGAAAATATTGTGGTCAGGTTTGATCTATGTTACATGTATTGTTACATGTGAATCCCCCAGTAAGTGTAACTGCTCCTAGGGATATCGTATACAGTGTAGTAATTGATTGATTAAATGGATTATAACTAATTGATTATTATTTGATGATATTTATTATGTGATATAGCATTTTTACTTTTTCAGATCAACATGTTCAATGTAATGTTCTGCATTATCAAAATACATAAAGACATGGTTAATTAAAAGAAACATGTTTTCTCTATATTTTGTTATGCCCATACTGTAATTAAGCAATGATCATCTCCTAATACAAAATGTTGTTATGAATTATCAAATTATAATCACTACACTCCCAATAAAAAAATTTGTCATCAGGCAACAGTAATTATTTGGGAAAATAAGGATTATGAGGATCATACCCCCCCCCCCGGGCCTAGAAACTTCCGTTAGTGCAATGATATAAGGAACTCTAAAGGTAAAAGGGTCTTGTCACATTAAAATCTTCATGTAGATCAAAAAAGTATATACATGTATGGTGAAATGATCAATATGTTTCAAACAAACAGACATTGTAGAAAATGTTTACATACTGACTGATAGTCACAAAATTATAATATCAGTGTCATTTGATGCAAATTACTGCAGTCCCACATGTTCTGCTGAATGTAAAACAGAGTGAATAATTTTAAAATCAGCCTCTTCAGGAGTGGAATTTAACAGGAGATTTCAGTTATCATTTTCACAGATATTTGAGTTCTCTCCAATAGTTCCACTTAAAACAATCTTGACATTTGGCACACTTTTAGAATGCTGCTTTATTGAATTTCTTTGTAATCTTTGAAAGTTGGTCTTATATTACTTGGACAAAGGTATTCATATTTTTAGGTAATGGTGTAATTTCTTCTATGGATTAAAGTTCAATAGGGGAAGCATCCATTCTTCGCATTCTTTCAGAATCCTTTACTGATGGAGACAACTAGCTAGGAGTCTAATATGAAATCTATTCTTTGGGCTCCTTTACTAGATTTGATGGAGTAGTCAAATATAGCTTTCCAAAACTTTCCAAATTTCAACATATAAGTTAATCTTCATTTTCCCTTTGTCATAGCCATTGCATCAATCATGAAACTTTTATCAATTTGTGGTATGGTTTCATCGATCTCCATTTGAAACCCCTTTTTAAGTTCTGATTTTACAGGATAAGATAGATGATCATTGTCAAATGAACTGTTTGTATCCATATAAGATCATAGTTTACTCACACATTTCTAGGCAAGGTGTGTCCAATTCCAGCCAATTCAATATTCCATATAACTGCATTCAAATTTACTACTCTCATAAACCCAAGGTCAATTTTAGATTCTAGAGAAATTAATGAAACTAATGATCATAGGGAATAGCATGCCAAGTGCTTGTATTTGAATTTATGTGGATTACTCATTTGGTAGACACCTTTATCAAATGTTAAAGTGTTGTTGATTTTCAAGTTGTACAAGCACAGTGTCATGGGTGCTTTCTTTTCCTGACATAGTATAACATTGTGGTAAAAATTATCAAATGCACCTAGTACAGTAGTTCTAGTTCATCATCTTGTATAAATGATATATCAGCAGTGAAACCTGTATATCCCAACATCTGACTATTGTGAACACATACCAATCATCCCAACACCTGACTTATCTGAAAACCAACCAATCTGAACACTTTTCTCCAGTTCAATTTTTCCTTCCTCCCATTGACTCCTATGTTTAAAAATTGAAATCTGAACACCTCTTAATTTGAACAGTGAACACTCATATTTGAAAAATCAACCTGTTTAACTTGAACTTTTTTTTACCAAATATCACATATTTCTTACAAAATTGCTAAAATATTGTCAGTTTAACACTGAATTGTTATGATATCAAAACTTTTGAATTGGATTTTGGAATGCTATTAAGCTTTTTGGATGGTCAGTATAAATATTATTAATATTTATTAATATTTTTCATTGAGAATGCATTCATATTTCTTCAAAATCCAGAATATTGCAGATGTAAAAACCTCAAAATTCAAACACTTCTAATTTGAACGCTTTTAGCTGGTCCAAATACTATATCTAGTAGCATTCAGATTAGAAAGATTTTACTGTAGTTCATGACTTTTCACTCCATCTATATGCAGCAGACTAACTGCTGCAACAGGTATATATTCTACACCTGGTCTCTAAGCCATGATATCACAGTTGTTACCATTATGCTCATAACCTTCAATTATCAGGGCTCATTCAAGGCTGTACCTGAATAACGTGAATTTGAGACCAATTTTCGGGATCAATTTTTCTTGCACTTGTTTAAAACCTTGAACTTCCTTCAAACTCATCCTATGCATCTTTTACATTTTAGTAAAATACTCTAAAAATATATATCTCATCACTGAGGTATAGATGTAAAAAAACATAAGGGTCATCTTTGGCTATACCTGAAATTCATAAATTTGAAAACATACATTTACAATTCTTCAAATTTTTGACTTGTTTAAAACCTTAAACTTTCTTAAAATTCATTTTGGGTATGTTAAATCTTAGTCCCACACTCTAAAACTGTATATTTAATCATAGAGGTATGGATGTAAAAACCATAAGGGTCAGCCATGGCTATACCTGAAATTCGTAAATTTAAAACCTTATATTTACAATTTTTCAAATTTTGAACTTGTTTAAAACCTTAAACTTCCTTAAAACCCATCTAAATTGTGTTTTACATATTAGTTCCATACAGCAATACCATAAGTATCACCATAGAGGGATGGATCTAGAAACTATAGGGGTCTGCCATGGCTCTACCTGGAATTCGTAAATTTGAAACCTTATATTTACAATTTTTCAAATTTTGGACTTGCTTAAAACCTTAAACTTCCTTAAAACCCATCTTAATTATGTTTTACATCTTAGTTCCACACTATAAAACCATATATATCATCATAGAGGGATGGATCCAGGAACTATAGGGGTCAGCTATAGTCATACACAAAATCCAGCTGTCAAAAATGTCAATTTTTTCGAAAAATCAACAATTTTTTTCTCAGCTCCTACCTCTTCCATGGCTTTGCATCTTTCAGGGTTACTAACCCTGCTATTGGGCACTTCACATGAATTTTTTCAACCTCTTACAGTGTCTAGTTGAAAAGTTAGAATCAAAATAGTAAGAAAATGGGTCACAAATTTGCCCTCTGGGGTACACACTTTGTACTAATATTCAATTTTTTTAGGAGTAATCAGCATCAATTATACTGCAAATGATTCATATATATAATATCTATGTATGTCACTTACAAACATCAAAATATCTAAGGTTATTAAGTGTGAACAATTTTTTTCCCCGGGGTGGGGTGTTTTTGTGGGGTAGGGGGCTAACTCTTCAAAAAAAGAACTTCCTACCACTCTGTGAAGCTATCACCTAGGTGGAAATTTCATCCAAGACTCTTCCCCAACTGAAAATTCTGCCAAACCAACTATACTCCATTTATTGAGAATTTCCCTCCTCGCCCCTAGAGTAATAAGAGTAAATCGATATTTTAAATCCGATTTTTTTTTACCATAATTTCTCTTTCATTAACGATCCATATTGTGACTGTGGAGATCGAGAGACAGCACAACATGAAGTCTTGTCCTGCCCTCTGAGAGAAACAAAAAATGCGCTAGCGTTGGTTAAACGTAAACTCAACTTAGATGTAACTAAATACAAAACATTAAAAAACAAGACAAATTTCCTACATTTTGGCGACAAGGATCTGACAAATGAAAACAATTTCAAATTTTTTAAGGCAGTTTTAAATTTCATTAAACACAATTAATTAAACATGCATGCGATAACAATAATTCAAATTCAGGGCACTAATGGGGGTATAGAGAGGTAGAAAAACAGAGTGTATTTAAACTTTATTTTTTATACTAACTATGGCTAAATGTAATTATATTGTAATTTAGATTCACTTAAAGCGGCAGAAGAAATGCCCTTTCTGGGCGATTCTCCGTAATTAAGATGTAAAATTTATGATTTTTATGAAATAAAGAGTTTTTTTTTAATTGAACTTTTCAAGAAAATGATGAATTACTTGTAGAAAACATGTTTATACTTTTGCAACAAATATACCATTAATTGATTCCTATTTAACTTTTTTGAATAGCAACCCCACGAGGATATTTACCGTTGCTTGAAGCGGAAGGCGTCACTATTTGCGAGAGTCAGACAATTGCACGCACTGCTGCACACATAGCAGGTAAACATATTTATAATGCGCACAGCTGCACATATAACAAGTAAACGTATTTATAATGCTACAGCTGCACAAATAACAAGTAAACATATTTATAATGCTACAGCTGCAAATATAACAGGTAAACATATTTATAATGCTACAGCTGCACATATAACAGGTAAACATATTTATAATGCGCACAGCTGTCCATATAACAGGTAAACATATTTATAATGCTACAGCTGCACATATAACAGGTAAACATATATATAATGCGCACAGCTGTCCATATAACAGGTAAATATGTCGATTTTACTCTTAACATACACATCTGGATTCTACACATACATTTATGGTAGATTCAGTAGATGGATGTACTAACAAATTGTCAATACTTATATACGACTCCACGTCGTCATATTTATAATGCTACAGCTGCACATATAACAGGTAAACATATTTATAATGCGCACAGCTGTACATATAATAGGTAAATATATTGATTTTACTCATAACATACACATCTGCATTCGACACATACATTTATGATAGATTCAGGAGATGGATGTACGAACAAATTGTCAATACTTATATACGATTCCACGTTAAAGTTTCCATATCTACAGTATTCACCCATTTTGCCCATTCGTTTCAGGAATTGCTGGTGAAACAGAACTGGAAAGAGCGCAAGCAGATATGATCATTGACTGCTACACTGATATTTTCGACAGTGTTGTAAACGTATTTTTTGAAAAAGATCTAACTACAAGGGTACGTCTGGATTTTGTGCAATCAGCAACGAAATGTTCTTAAATATATACGTTTTGATTTAAGTGGAGCAACTTCAGAGTATTAATAAAATGGATATCGTAAAAATGGATATGAAACCTGAAATTAAGTTTTACATGCTTTGTGCCAGGGTCTCAGTGAATTTTCAGGTCACTTTTTAATTGCACTTAATTTTTATACACATTTAGTTTACATTGATAGGGAGGCAGGCATCGGGTTAAAAAGCACAATTTCTTTTATTCATAGAAAACATCTACGTCATGTTCTTGATGCGTGTAGCATGTTTGCTTTTTAGAATGAACTTATAGCAAAACTTAAGACTCAGACACCAGAGGGCCTTAAAAATCTCGAAAAGATCCTCGTGGATAATGATGGAGGCGATGGATTCATAGTAGGAAGCAAGGTACAATATTTATTTATGTATTTTTAATAGCATGTTTTGTATCTCAGCTTATATACAATAAAACTCAAAAATTTATCTTTATTAAGCGAATTAAAAAGTTAACCTTTCAACTTGAGCACTCCTGTGTAAGATGAACACCTCTGTAACGTGAACACCTCGACATATCGCCTTTTGATTCATTCATTTGGCTTTTAAGTCAATTCCACCTCTAAAATATGAACACCCCAAAAATTAATTAAACCGTTGCAAATACATTATATACGTACAATACATTACACTATTTGCCTTTTTATGTATTTTACTTCAGTTGACTTGGGCAGATATAGCATGCATGTTCATATTGGATATCCTCCATAAAATGATGCCGGAAGCCGGTGTTGATTTGGATATGTCTGCACTATGTCCTCAACTAATGAGTCATTCTGGACGTATATGTGGAATACCCGCCATCGCGAAATGGATAGATGAACGACCGGCAGAGGAACCTCGGAAGTTACCCATCCTACAAGGTAGTTAAATATTTTCATCTAATATTGTCTACTTGACTTATTTGAAATTGAACATTGTAAATGAGATATAGGGTCAGGGATCTCAGGTGACTCGAATCCATGACCTCTTATACCAACGACATCTTCGACGCTTCCTGGTCAACTCAACCCCAAGTCAACTCAACCCAAGTCAACTCAACCCTTAGTCAAGTCGACTCCAAGTCAATTCGACCCTTAGTCAAGTCGACCCTAAGTCATCTCGACCCTTAGTCAACTCGACCCCAAGTCATCTCAACCCTTGGTCAACTCAACCCTTAGTCGAGTCGACCCAAATGATTTTACTTGTTTTAAGTAGATTAAAATACAATATAATCCAATTGTTTGTGCAGTTTGATTTGAAATCAAACTTCAAAGAAAAAAAACATTTCTGTCACCTATACGATCAAAACGAAGATTTAAACTGGATCATAAAATCCCAATCTGTTTGTTTATGACACCTGACATATGAGTAAGATAATGGAAAATAGAAAAACATAAATCCCATTGTTTGTTCAGTCTTGTTTTAAAATCTTACTTCAAAAAAATAAACATTTCTATCGCCTGTAGATCAGAAGGAAGATTTGAACCGGATCATATTGTTTATTATTATTATCAAAATATAAAATCATTCAATACAAAGTAATGGATGGATGTTGGCACAATGCACATGTTGCATAAGTTACCTGTTGTCAAAAATACTGTTGCAACAATTTCGGTATAACAGAAAAGTGTATAGATAATTTTTTTATTTCAGAGAGATTAAACAAGCTCAAATATTAAGGGGTGAAATATATGTATAGCATCGTGAATAGTCCTATTAAGATTAATCAAATATTATTTTGTTATTTATAAAAATTAAAAATGCGTTAAGCACAAACTTCAATAGTTGATAATTTTATTTTGGAAAATTAGCATTTTAGTCCCTCATTCTTTCAAAATTCATCAATATCATACCATGAAAATAGTATATCTATTTGTTTTTTATGGTGGGGTCGAGTTGACTAAGGGTTGAGATGACCAAGGGTTGAGATGACTTGGGGTCGAGTTGACTAAGGGTCGAGATGACTTGGGGTCCACTTGACTAAGGGTCGACTTGACTTGGGGTCGACTTGACTAAGGGTTGAGTTGACTTGGGGTTGAGTTGAGCAGTTAAATCTTCGACTACCACGACTATGAAGGGTTTTAAATTAGCATTCAATTAAAATAGATTTAGTGTCTTGACAAATCATCTCAAATCTAGTGAAGCACCAGAATAATTTAAAAAATATACTCTTACAAAAATTAACTTGTCGTTCTGGACCAATCAACCGATAGCAACCCCGGTGGCAACCACTCCAACTCAAATGTCGCAAACATGCATCACAGTGGTACCTTTGCACGCACACGTTTTACACAATCAACTTCTATTTCTCCATTTCAGCTCCCATTCCTAAAGGTCCGTATAAACTGACCTACTTTGATATCCGAGGAAGAGCAGAATTGACCCGGATGATCTTTGCCTCCAAGGATATTGAATTCGAAGACATCCGAGTTGACTTTAAAGATTGGCCTGATATGAAACCAAGTAAGGACCTCAGAACGCAGTTGAAATCACTTTCTATAATTTACTTATAGTCATGTTACGGTAAAAACTGTTACAATATCATCTCAAAAATGGTTAATTGGTTCTGTTACAATTATTTGTTATAAAAACACACAAATTTTTCTATAGCCCTTAAACTTTTAAGTACAAGACTCACTAGTTACATCCATACTCACAAGTTACATACATTTTCTTTTCAGCAACGCCTAATGGAGTGTTACCGTTATTGGAAGTGGAAGGTGCAACTATATGCGAGAGCCAGACCATTGCACGCACAGCTGCACATATAGCAGGTAAACATATTTTTGCAAACACAGTAGCAGGTAAGCATATTTATTGCACGCAATTTGCATGTATAGTATCTAAACATATTTATTACACGCACAGCTGCACGTGTAGTAGCTAAACATATTTATTACACGCATAGCTACACGTATAGTAGCTAAACATATTTATTGCACGCACAGTTGTCCACTCGTTTAGCAGATGAAAATCTCTTATGTACTCGTTGATCGTACAACTGCCCATATAGCAAGTAAACGTGTTGTACACATCCTATTTTATTAACATAGGTATAAGATAAACCTTAAAATAATTGCTCCACAAATGTACCATGTTTTATTCGCACTACATTGTACATTCGTTAGGTATCGCCGGTACAACAGAAGAGGAAAGGGGTCAAGCAGATATGTGTGTGGACTGTTACTGTGATGCAATAAACCATGCTGCTAATTGGTTGAAAAATAAAGACGACGAGGAAAAGGTTAGAAAAAAATTCCTTAAAATAATTCATTTTTCAGTACTCTACGCACAGAGTCTAGTAGCGAAGTCAACGATTGAGGGCATTTTTCAGTAAATACCCCAAAGAAAACATTCGATAATGAGTTAGTTTACAATTAACTTTTCAGCACTTGCTTGTACTTTACTTACTTATAAGTATTTTTCTGAATCTAAAATTCAATTCAATAATAATATAAAATAAAATAGATCTACGATATAGATATAACCGTAAAAGGTGTTGTCCAATGTCATTCCTATTTTGGCTATCATAAGTTTCAAAATGTAAAATTTACTGTGTTTATTTTTATTACAGGGGCCTGAACTATTAAAAAATCTAACAGAGACACAACTTCCCACTGGTTTAGAGAACCTCCAAAAGATTTTAGTTGCGAATGGAGGCGATGGATTCATAGTTGGCAACGAGGTAATACACTTCTTCTTGAGATACATTGCCCAGAGACATTTAACATCCCGACCCCCCCCCCCCATCCCCACCCCCTTTAGATCATATTTTTTCTATTTGTGTTTGGAGCTGATTTTTCTCTCAAATACAACATTGCAAGGTCCATAATGTATGACCAAAGAATCTTTAAAATCGCCAAACATAAGCAAACTTTTATACGTGATCCAAATGGGAGTTTGAATGCCAAATATTGAGAGGGGAGTGTACATTATTTGAATATCATGGTTGTTTTGGTTAGGTTGATGTTTAACATAATTGTTTTGGTTTGGTTGATGTTTAACATAGTTGTTTTGGTTTGGTTGATGTTTAATGTTTTGGTTTGGTTGATGTTTAACATGGTTGTTTTGGTTTGGTTGATGTTTAACATAATTGTTTTGGTTTGGTTGATGTTTAACATAGTTGTTTTGGTTTGGTTGATGTTTAATGTTTTGGTTTGGTTGATGTTTAACATGGTTGTTTTGGTTTGGTTGATGTTTAACATGGTTGTTTTGGTTTGGTTGATGTTGAACCTTCATGCTAATGTCCTTGTCAGATTTAATGAGAGATCATCCATTGCATTGTTTAATCATATCAGTTATCATAGATGGACACACTTACTAGTTACCACATTTGACAAACTAATCCTTTATTTTATCTATTTTAGCTAACGTGGGCAGATCTTGCGTGTTTGACGCTAATGGAAGAAATACCAAGTATGTTGAAGAGAGGCGGTGTCTCTGATGCTTTTGATTGTGAAAAGTACACTGAACTGTCAACTCATGCTGAACGTATCCGGGAAATCCCAGCTATATCCAATTGGATACAGAAACGACCGCAATCTGCCAGACCAGCATAAGGTTGTGCCTAAATGGTGGTGAACGTTAAAAGTGTCAGGATTAAGACGACCATGATGACACTGATGGTCATTCTATATGGTACCTTATTCCTGAACCAGCTCAAAATCCGTCCAACACAGTATTTACATACACAGCGTGTGATTTCATAGATATTTGTAGCAATGTTATATTAAATGAAATGCGCTCTGAAAACAACAATGACTGTGATAATGTACATATAGACATAGAGAGAACAATAAGTGTAAATGACTCAGGATAGATTGGATCTAATATTTGACCATTTATTTGGACAAGTAATTTAGTTTTTCTTTGGACATTTTCCTTCCTCAACTTAAGATCTCCTCTCAATGAGTCCTCACCATTCAATGTAATCCAAACTGTGAGATTACATCATTATTAAAGAGACAATGAAATCTTGTTCAGACCCATAGCTAGCCCCTCTGGCCAAAAATTATTTCAAAACCATGCAGTTTCCACCATTCTGAATACTTCGAGTGATTTTGGCCATCTTTGAGCCAAAGTTGTCAAAAGTGAACCTCCCTGGATTTTTTTAAAAAGTGAGCCTCTTGGCAAATCCTTGCTATAGGCCTGCTGGTCATACTCGTTTCTCAGTTTGATTTTCAATCATGAAAATATCATACCATGGGAATCCAAGATGCCTGCTGGTATCCTTTGGAGGAATTCAACAACTCAGTATTCGATTCATCCTTTGAGTCAATCATTTATTTTTCAATTTTGTATCTTGTTTTGTGTGATATATTTTGATAAAATAAAATAAGTATACATTACCGAGAAAGGTCTTTTGCTTCATTGGTAATACTGTCATTCTCTACATGGTTATAGGGTTGGGAGAATTTGGTTTAATCAATGGACCAATGAAAATTTGTCCCACTTGAAGAAATGCATTGCGGGAGATATTGATGTTAATGGCCATGTTTTCGTCTGGGTTGATTTGGCAACAGAATTTTTTGGAAAAGTGACCCCCCCCCCTTGGAAAATTCTGGCTACGGGCCTGAAGACATTAATATTCGATATATTGTCAATGTTAACTTTTATTTATATTGAAAAATTAAATTAAAATCAAGAAAAATGAAAATACACCGACTTAGGCAAGGCTAATTAAATCAAAACCGGGGTCACAACATTGTGATTCAAACATTCACAGGCTTTGATTTGCTATTCAATAAAAACGCTCGGTTGCCAAACTTATAGAGGGGAGTGTAGCCGAATACGGACACTGTTCGCCAATGAAATGATAAAGGGATTATTGAGAGTCTGTGTATGATTTTATTTTTGTAGACGAAAAATTATTTAATTGAATGTTTATGCCATAGTTAACGGTTAAATGTTCATTTAAATGTTTTATGCAGTTACATCTTAACTAGATATTTCATGTCATGATTGAATGTTCAGTTTTATTCAGATTCGTAAATGAAGTATTTTTGGCCTTATGCCCTTTAACTGTATTAATCACAACTATAGTGCAGTCACGCGTATTACTTATTAGTACTGAACGTAACCCGATTAATTATTTCAATGCGCCGCGAAAATTATGAAAATAGCTTATTTTCTATTATATTGACCGCTCTGGACATATCATTATTAGTTGTTTTCACTCATATATACACTTACTATATAGCAGCCGATTGCCCTTTTCATTTCTTTGAGACGCAATTTAAATTTCATATCAGCATTATATACAACAACGTTCAAAATGTTTTTCTCTATATATTGCGATGTTTTTCTTTCCCGATGGAGCTTGAATATTGTGCCAAACACGTACTTGTGTACAGCCTTGCTTTGTGACTACTGTTATCATTTGCAAGAGCTCATTTTTGAGTCCATTGCGTTTCCTCGATCAAAATGTAAACTTTAAAATGGGGCTAATCAATTAAAATACATTTACATTATGTTAACTCAAGCAAATAATCATAACAACTACAATATTTTTAAGCAGTTCTGACACCTAAGCAATGTAGCCTCGTGGCGTAGAGACTAGAGACTAATCTTGATCGAACAACGTGGGATACGGAGGTCCTGTGTTCGAGCCGCAGGTACGGAGAATTTTTGATTATTGCACTACCGGACACCTTGTATAATTATTACATTTTTGAGCAATGTTGACACCTGAGCAGTGTAGCCTAGGTGGTTAGTGACTGTGGTCGTGCGCACCGAGGGATACAAGGTCCCGCGTTCGAGCCTCGGGTACGGCGTCCTTGATAATAGTTCTACAGGACACTCGGTCCGAAGGTCCAACCTCCGACCCTTGGCATGGGCCGGTTCTCTGACTGCTCTTGTCGGAGACAGATTGTGAGACTGTGGTTGGTTCCTCCACTGATGGGCTATAGTAGACGCCGGGAGTCATACAGTATGGTAGTGAGCCCCCACCAAGGGCAGTAGTGGAACGACGCGAATCGGTCCCAGTATGGTTGCCTTGCAACTGAAGAGACTCGAGGAAATCATGCCATTCACGGTGACCCAGAAAAGACTTTTTCTTCTTTAACTTATTTTGTTATAGCAATTAAAACTAAAATAAATTGACTACAACGATGGGCACTTATTTATATTGTGTAACTCGTTTAAAACAAGAAAGACGAAAGCCCTCGAGTTCAAGCAATGTTTGAGCAATGTGTATTTTGGCGATCTCATCCCCCCTGACTGAAAGCTGGCATGCCTCTGCATGGTGTTCATGTCCCTCTACACTTTTCATAGACTTTGTATTAGAGTTGTAAGGAGGCTTTAAGGTAACAAAAAAGAATGGAGGTTTATTTTTGATGTACATGTATGTACATATTGATTCTCATCCACCGAGATTTAGGATGCGCGAACTTACTGCGCAATAGTCGATGAAGTACTACCGGTAAACAAGTACAATGAAAAATACAAAAAGAATTAAGGTCAGGGTGCATGATTGGAAAGCATGTTTTGATAAAGTGTATAAAAAAACAAGAAAATTCAGTAATAAAATTAAGAAAATTTTCAGAATTTTTTTTCACTGAAATTTCTCTCAAGACTTTTCTAGGCACATACACCCCCCTCCATAAGTTTGGCAACCTTGGCTCTCCCATTGAACTACGTGTTTAACCCTCTTTATGTTCAAATTTTTATATACTTAACCGGCGATGAAACAACTTATAATATTGATGGAAACGTAAATTGACTCTATTTCATGTCATGATTGAATGACATGAAGTAAATAAAAATTAAGGTAAAGAGGCTTTAACACGTAGTACAATGGGGGGAGCTAAGGTTGCCAAACTTATGGAGGGGGGTGTACGTGCACTATTTGGTGTATATTTAAGGTATGAGTACCGTAATCCAACACCAAATTCGAAAATTCATAACAATACTTTGCACATATGGCGTTCGTGACCAACTATAAAACGCTTACCCCCCATAGTGTTATATATCAAAATGTACCTGTTCATATAGGGGTTCGATTGATCTACATCAAATTATAGGGAGTCAGGTTACTTTTTGAGATATCAGCGTTCATTTATTGTGACTCGCGTTTGCTACCACTTCCTCAATTCTCATATGATGGGCAAACGCGTAGTAAACATGCTCACGTCGGAACTATTTTTGACCTACATCGCTATTTCGTAATTCAAATGAAAGTTGAACTCCTCCTCTTTATTTTGATACCAAATAGTGGCATACTAGGTACCCTAGAAGCCAACTATGGCGTTATTTAGAACAATACCACGAGTTTTTAAATGGACTATATAGGGGTCATACCTTTTGGCGGATGGATATGGAACCTCATACCTCAAGGTATGAGTACCGTAATCCAACACCAAATTCGAAAATTCATAACAATACTTTGCACATATGGCGTTCGTGACCAACTATAAAACGCTTACCCCCCATAGTGTTATATATCAAAATGTACCTGTTCATATAGGGGTTCGATTGATCTACATCAAATTATAGGGAGTCGGGTTACTTTTTGAGATATCAGCGTCCATTTATTGTGACTCGCGTTTGCTACCACTTCCTCAATTCTGATATGATGGGCAAACGCGTAATAAACATGCTCACGTCGGAACTATTTTTGACCTACATCGCTATTTTCGTAATTCAAATGAAAGTTGAACTCCTCCTCTTTATTTTGATACCAAATAGTGGCATACTAGGTACCCTAGAAGCCAACTATGGCGTTATTTAGAACAAAACCACAAGTTTTTAAATGGACTATATAGGGGTCATACCTTTTGGCGGATGGATATGGAACCTCATACCTTAATGTGTTATGACATCACACTGATTTTTGTCTCTGCAACTTTTTTTGGCAGAAAATATCATTTCTAGTTCAAAAATGCATAAAAACGTCGGAACTGGCTGAATATGTGAAAAATTTATCCATTTAGGCTAGAAAGGGTTAATTTGCCCTACCCCAAATACGTCTAAATATGCTGGTCTAACTTTGCCACTGTGACGTCACAAATCTAACCTGATTATCTCTGAGTTTATTGAAGAAAATGATACGTCTGACAAACAGCTTTCATTCCCTATATGGCACACCTTCTACTAAGAGTTGCATCATTGACTAAATCTAAGACAAAGGGCCTGTGTCCCGAGGATTTTGACTGAAATTTGGCCATTTTCGCCCAAATCTAACTAAATTGCAGTTTCCCTCACACCTGTATTTTGAAATAAATATTGCTACAATGTAGCAATTTGAAAATCACACATGCTTACTGTTTCTGTCGACCTGACACGTGTATCTAGCCTGTAAAAATGAAAAATCGCTACATTGTAGCAATTTCACTGAGATATGGGCCCTGAAAATCATGTAATTTTAGCAAAAAATGAAGAAATAACCTGCAATTTTGACGGAATTTCAGAGGGCTTTCTTTCATTCCAGACCCTCCACGGGCCTCTTATGACCATTCTTATACTCACAGAATGGTTGAAAGTGATTTCAAATCATTGTTTGCCCTACGCAGAACGAAAAAATCGATTCTGTTCTCAAAATCTGCTAGAATATTGGTCTCTGGCCAACTAGCAGACAATTTTAGGCCTCATATTAAGGTATGAGTACCGTAATCCAACACCAAATTCGAAAATTCATAACAATACTTTGCACATATGGCGTTCGTGACCAACTATAAAACGCTTACCCCCCATAGTGTTATATATCAAAATGTACCTGTTCATATAGGGGTTCGATTGATCTACATCAAATTATAGGGAGTCAGGTTACTTTTTGAGATATCAGCGTCCATTTATTGTGACTCGCGTTTGCTACCACTTCCTCAATTCTGATATGATGGGCAAACGCGTAATAAACATGCTCACGTCGGAACTATTTTTGACCTACATCGCTATTTTCGTAATTCAAATGAAAGTTGAACCCCTCCTCTTTATTTTGATACCAAATAGTGGCATACTAGGTACCCTAGAAGCCAACTATGGCGTTATTTAGAACAAAACCACAAGTTTTTAAATGGACTATATAGGGGTCATACCTTTTGGCGGATGGATATGGAACCTCATACCTCAATATTGATTCTCGTCTACCGAGAGCTTACACGAGAGCAGGATTTAGAATGCGCGAATTGACTGCGCAATAGTCATTGAAGGACTACCTTAAACCCCAAGAGGGGGAGAAACCCCAGGGTTCAAAGATGACATACGCTTATAATGTAAATCTGTATTGAGATGACATCGTCGCTGATTAGTTTAGCGAGTCGATCGTTGATTGGTTTAAAACTAGGTCAATTTGAAAACTTTGAAAACCAAGATGGAGGGTAAGTAAAAAGTTATGTACAAGAAAGAATGGGTTTATATCTGTATTTTGATATCAAATTTGAGGACATATGTGGTATATGTTGGAAGTTATATTGCAAAAGTAAGGTCACCCCAAAAGTGGGCGGGGCAAAAAATTGAAATTTTAAATATTTTTTTCTTCAACAATATGCAAGTTGAGAAGTCGGTATTCCATATGTGTATTACCTGTATATAGAAGTATTACCATGAATTTTTCCATGGCTCTTAGATAAAGCAATTAAGAAATATATACATTATCATAAAATATTTTGGCCATATGACAACATATTTTGGTGTATTTGGGAGGTAAAATGTCAATTGTTGGCACAAAAAAAGCATTAAAAGTAGATTTAAATCCACTCTGAATCTTTCCCATGAACTAATACAACATTAAAACATGTAAAAACTATTCAAATATGGAGAAATTATTTTTTCACTTACCCCTAGTCAAAATTGGGGTGGGGGTACCTAAGAAGTGAAATTTCATATTTGTCCACTACATATATTTTCCTATATTTTTGATATGTTGCTACATATATATCAATTCACCAATTAAACCATGTTTCAAAACTATTGCAATTTGTCAGATGTGAAATCACCAATTGACTGGCTTAATAGTCCCTGATCTGATTTTCCTAAGAGCTCTAGATAGGAGTTTGTTGTCCGGAAGCCTTGTTCATAAAGCCAGCGTAGGACTAAACGTCAACGTATCGTATTGCGGAAACTTATTTTTGGTATTCATAAGGCAAACGTAACTTTACGATGAAAGTCCTGCGGATCTTACAAACTATTTACGTCAAGTATTTTCACCGTGTAACTTTACCACTGTGACCAAGTGTTAATAGTGGAGATTGTCCCGGACTTGTTTTTTCAAACGATTTAGACGGGTTTTTCGAAAACTTGAGAGGTAGGTTGATAAAGGTCCATGTGCAGTATCAAGACAACTTAAACATAAAAATGGACCGCGTGGAGTTTTCAACTTAAAAGTATTTCCATACAATCCCCCTCCCCTTCAGTGCAGGAGAAACGTTCATATGATTAAGATTGGAAAAACGAGATATTTTTTAAATGAGAAAAATATTTTGGAAAAACTGAAGAGATGGGTTACTAAACCAATATCTATCGGTTTAATCCAAATGCCATTTTTATTAGTTGAAAAAAAAACATATATTGTTCTATGTAAAACGAAGGAAGTGTGATCTACAATACTCCTTGTCAAAAATAAACTCCAAATTGTTCACGAAACAATACGTGGTCCTTAATTATTTAGTATTAATTTTCTGACATTCAGAGACAACTGAATAAATGTTTCTGGTCAAGTTTGCTTAAGAAATGCTACAGCGGAGCTTTCTTTAATACTAAACGTGTATGCTAGAATTATACATCCAGCCCATAGATTTGATGTGCTTCACCAGTTCACACAGATTCTACGTTCACGTTTTCCCGTACAATAGTCACTGCGGCAGCATTATGTACAAATATGAAAAAACGAACTTCACAACAAAAATGTATTTGTGTAGGATAAGTAACTAATGGTCTCGAATAACGTATTTTAGCCTAACGTCTTACAATGTATGAATCTACGTATCATTTACGGCACTGACGGATAGCGCTTTGCGAAACCTCTGTTCTGTAGTTTTTTTTGATTTATTCTTAAATGTCCCAATTGTTTTACACGCAGATCATTTTCTAGCTGTTCGAAGCCTGTTTCTGTCACATACAGATTATCTCAAATCAGACGCGTGGTAAGGCCCTAGATGACTTGCGACGTTTGGGTAGGTGTTAGACATCCGCTCGGCACCTGTAAACATGAGAACAACTAATTCGTCAACTATGTTTAATCTATTATGGCATTGAGATGGCTAACCTTGTGAGTTAATGAATCGTGGATCACAAAGATTGGAGGCTGTGCAAGCTCTTCTTAAAAATTAAAGGGGACATTAAAATACCCCAAGCACAATTATTCTCGGATTCAACGATGTGTATTATCCTACCATAGTGGGGGTAATTTCCGGATCGTATGTTAGGAATCTCGGCTTTCCTGTCGGGGTCCTCTCTAAAATTTCTGTCTAGCTCAGCACGTTTGTGATTTCCAACCATAATCTTTCCAAAGTTTTCGTTCAGCTCACGACCACTCATGGTTCCCCTAAAACATAATGACGATTATGGAAATATATTCGAGCGGCTGTTTTCCAATGATATGAAATTCATCTTTCATGTCTACTATTTGGGCACTTTTATGACAGTACGATCATGAATGTGATGCAAACTATGCATCTCAACTTAGATAAGCTGAAATCGGAGGTTTATCGAAAACGAAATAATTTTGTCCACCATCTTGAATGATTTAACTGCAGTTAGAGTCATCCAGCTGTGGAACAGTGCATATGCGTATCTACGGTTTTTTATTTTCTTATAACTGTTACTGCTATGAAACTGATTATAAAAAAACAGAAAATGTTAATCTCACATTATTAAAGTGATAATATTGTTATCAATATATTGTTTAATTCACATACAAAACACAATCTATTATATCATGAGCTTTCAACAGATGATTATATCCTCTTTGAAGGAGGGACGATTCTTAACTACATTCGGCAGATCAAATTCCGGTTACATACAGCATAGATTACTCGGCTCTGGTCCTTTTAATTACCTTTCAAGTTGTGATTTTGAATACGAGTGAGGTGTCTGCCCAGTTGCAAGAATCTCAAACAATTTTCCCGCCATTTTATCAGCCTCGCTTTCAGGAAGGTTATGCTCTTGTCGTACAGCCATCCATCCCATTGTCCTCTCCTTCAGCTCGTCTCGTATTTCAGCAACAACACCGGGTGGACAGTTTTTCAAATGCGTTTGAAAAATAATAAGTTGTGCCTTTACACCCTCTTTAACCTGTTTGGTGAAAGAAATGGAAAATAATTAGGCCAACCAAACGCCAAATCGCAACATAACTTATGGGTGGGGGGAGAAGATGCTGTCACACGACTTTGATATGTGGGCCTACATTAGTATTGGAGGTACCTCAAATAAGTTACCTCAATAGTTATTTGAGTTACCTCAAATAACTCTCTAGATATAGAGAGAAATACCAAATACGCTGGCTAGATTTATCAAGAGATATGTATAAAATGAAATTAGTATTAATTGCAAAAGTGAATCAACTTCACTGATATAGCCCTCTAACCTCAACACTTACCGCACGAAAGTCTTTAAAGCCTTGATCAGGAAGATGTGCACCTGAACGAGGGACTTTCTTTTTCTTAGACTTTCCACTGATATCTTTTGCCTCCGTAGTTTTCCCATTGATTTCCCTTGCCTCCAACTCCTCTATGGCCGTTACAACATTAGCATACACATCATATGCCATCTGTTTGCTCGCTGTAAATCAATTTAAAATTGCATCTACGAACTGGATCATAAAAATAGCAATATGGTAATATTACATGATTTATCATCGTTTTGTTGGAAATACTTTAGTATCTGCATGTACAAATACCTTGTAAAGACCTATGCATCTGCAAAGTGGTTTGCTGCTGTCCTCTGATGTAGGGGTTACCTGCATCAGCGTATCTCATATGTTCATCTTCATAGTAGCCAGAGTTTGCTGGGTTCCCGGTCCCCTGGCCACTAAAAACGCCCGTTACTTTATCTTTCGCATAATTTGCCATTTGGACACTTTTCTGATATAATGTTTTCTCTTCAATGGGCACATCACTGTTAGAGAAGTTTCTTCCTCCATGTGTTAATTGTGTGGTGTGTCCGTGAACACCCGTGCTGTGGTGATCATAGCCGTGCGCCCCTGTGGTAGAGCGTGTCTCTGGACCACTGTGTCCATGTGTTCGCCTCGAAGGTTGTGTTTCATAGCTGTCTGTTTCCATATCTTCATCTTGGTGCTCACTTTGAGGGTATTTCACTGGTGATCTGACAAAAGAAAATGGTGTAATTATTATGAGTCCACATTAATATGAAGACAACTTGTTGATAAAGATGACCAGGACTAAAGTCCCAAAAAACCCTCACGAAACATTCTCAATGCATATTAAAATGGAACAAGATTTGGCGAAGCATTTCATAGGTTTAGCATCGGGTAAAGAAAAAACTAATTTCTGAAAAGTGGGACTTTAGATTGCCAATGCACGATGAATAATGAAAATAAATAGCCATAAGACATAAGTCTAAGATCATCCATTGGATGTTATTTCTAATCCAAAAATGATGGTGACTGCAAAAAAAGTATGGCAGAATTGTAGATTATTATGCACCTCATTAAAATACTCAAATCTGATTGGTTCTTAGTTGCTTGTAATTTGGCAATACTCTGCTCTTTTATGAAAACTGCCGGATATTTTTTAATATCCGACCCTTTCGAGAAAAAGGGTCGGATATTTTTTTCAATGTTTTTGCAACATTCCCACTTCAGAGTTTTATTTCTTAATAACTGGAGTACTACTTAGAGCTTACATCTGAAACTGGCGGAAAATAGAAGAAAAAAATGCACTTAATCAATCACAATTACCCTTATCATTCAAAAGTTACATATAATTCTGCAAGAACGTCTCGAATAAATAAAAATTAAATTCCCGGAGCAAATATTTTCGTCCAGCGTAGCGAATAAACTGGCCGGAAGTCGTCTGAGTTTTGAAAGAAAAATAAATAAATGTCAAAATAATGTCAACTAAACGACAGTTTAAGCCTGTACTCCAGTAAGTACTCCACTTAACTTTGATCGGGAGGTGCATAATAAAACAAATACTGGATGATCAGGAGCTGGATATGGCCAGAATACCTATCCTCGAAAAAATATTGGGCTCGGCTGCCGCCTCGCCCAATATTTTTTCTCGAATAGGTATTCTGCCATATCCAGCTCCTGATCATCCAGTATTTGTTTATTATCATGGACAGAAGATGGGGATTTTATATAAGTATAATTATATGGGAGGGTCTAGAGACATAGCTCGGGATGGAAACAGTGATAATAAAGAACCAACCTTTCACGTTCACGTCTTTCTAATTTTCCTTCTGCCTTTTCTATGCAGCGATAAGTCTTTGGATGCCTTGGAAAATCGTACGTTTGCTTCATTTGGTTCAATGCACGAAGCCAGGTTGACAAACTCGACGCATACACTTTGGGTTGAGAATCTATTCTATCCTTTAGGATCCCTAACTTGTCATCGAAATCTTTAATGCTCTAAAATATCAGATAAAGGGCATGTAATATAAATCAACAAGGCATTAACATGCAAAAGGTAACCACTTGACATTAATTACAGACGCCGAACTCCGAACGACAACCCAAAAATTGGAAACCATTGTTAGGCGGTAAACACGATACAAATATATGTCATATTCCGCAACGAATATGGCATAACAGGTATATTCACTTGCGGTGTGTGACAGATTCACCTGCGGTATATGGCATACTCACTAACCAATGAGAACGTGATAAGGAAGTAAGCAATTGTCAATTGCATCGATTGAACGAACAGGTAAAAGTTTATAAATTATTGAAATGATTACTGAATCAACAGTACAGTGCATTGAATATATCAACTAATGTAGAAGTATCACTCAGTAATGTCACGTGATAAACTCACTTAATAAATCAAGGATTCATATATTACCAGATGCACTAACTATATTGATAATCCAGCAAAGTTTTACATTTAGAGTTGATTCTCGCAACCAATCAAATCAAGGCTTTCTGTATCACGTTTTCACCCGCGGTATATGGCATATTCCGCAAGTGAGTATGACATATTCAGCAGGTGAGTATCGGGTATTCGCTGAAATTAATGTATCGCATATTTACTGCGGAATATGCCATAATCACCCGGGGAATATGCCCTATACCGCAGGTGAGTATGGCATATTCACCCGTATCACAAATATGGCGCAACCATGAATATATGCCATATTCCGCGTAACAACCATAACAATATGGTGAAATAAAAACTCGTCAAAATGCTTATTTTCAATTATCACATAAAGTGAATAATCATTTTTATCATCAACATGCATTGGGATATGGTTATTTATCTTGGAAAATCAAATCATTTGAGTATATCCAAATAAATACTATATTTATTCGTATTTTAAACGCATTGAAATTCACTATACAAATAGAGTTCTTTTTCACTCACCCTTTCGATGACATGCAATGGTTTGTCCTCCCACTCATCCCGTCCAATCTTCTGAATGGCTTCCGACAATAATTGATATTCTGGAAAAAGATACCCAGATTAGCACCATGTTGAAAAAATACATCACCTGTGTGGGCGTCAGAAGGGGGGGGGGTGGCACTGGCGGATCCCCCCCCCCTGTGGGTCCAGAACATTTCTAAGGCCAAATTATTAAAAGATGGGCCTTAAATTTTCAAAATTTGGACTTTAGGGAAAAAATTTCCTCACTCGAAATTAGGGCCCCCACTTATTAGCTTCTGGATCCGAAAGTGGGGTACTCCCTTTTGAGTCAACCTTGGAGTGTTTTTCCCAGGGTATTTCGTTCATTGCACTGAGATTTGAAGGAAAGAAGACTGAGAACTATGAGGTCTTGCGAAAGAGGTGGAGAAGCTTGGCTTTAAATTCAAGTTATGATTTTTTTAGACCACCCCCCCCCCCCCACACTCACTGGCAAATCCCTGTATTGGCCTGGTCACGAGCCATCGATTATACTACAAGGAATTGTGAAATGGTGGCGTATATCCTATAAAATACTTTTGATTGGTTGACCAGGTGCTGCTTTCTTCTATGGCTCCAATAATGATAGTACTGAACTCTTACCAGTAGGGAGGGTAAGGTGCCGTACTGATGGAGAAGTGTGTAGACATGTATAATTTAAAATCAAATATAAAATAATCATCAAATCAAATATTTTATCGTTCGTATCATTGGTTTAAAATCGAAGTTGACACATTATGAAACGGCAATACCCGAAGCACATAGGCTACTATAAAAATAACCTGAACGAAATATCATACAAATGTCCAAACAGAATGCGTGACATTGAAATCACCCCCCCCCCTAAATGAGACGAGATGCCCAAAACTCACGATACCATACAAATGCCCAAAACACACATGATGATCCCTATAGAACATCCCCATTATCTCGTATATTTACTTTAATAAAGGAACTTAAATTCACTCATTTAGTTGAATCCTTAACAATTCTTTTGTTTTCTTACCTTTACTCATTATGCAAGTCTGTTGTGGTACAATGGAATGGAAACGCTGAGCACGGCGTCAATCGAGTCGTCCAAGTGATGCTCTATCTTGGAAGATGCGTTCAAATAATAAACAGAAAAACACGAGTTCTCAGAAGTCAGTAAACTAAAGTTCTAATTCTATTCAGCTTCTCTTTAAAGCCATGGAATTACCTCACTGCTTCGAAGAAACAGAATTTTCCATTTGATCATTGGAATTCCCATGACTTCATCTACACATGCGTTTTAATCAGTAACTTCGACGAACAACTAAAATAACTGATGAAACGACAAATAAAATGTCATTTTATCAACGCTTTTGATGTTTACATTTTCTAGGTTGCCTTTTAGGAACGACCTATCTCATTAAAGGGCATAAAAACTCTATCTAAGCATAAAGGCATCCAATTTCCTATTTAACATCAATAATTTAATTTTGTTGAATTGAGTCAGCGTGACCATAAACTGATAGCTCCGATTGTTAACAATGAACGCAAAACGAAACTGCAATCCACGATTGGAATTCTCACTCGTCATCTAAAAATGACGCATACGTAAGCCCACAATACATAACCATCTCAACTTCTCCGAACTGGAATAGAATCAAAAGCTCGACTAAAATGAATATAAAAGTAATCTTGAATGTTTTGATTGACCTACCACACCTTCAGAGGTTCAGCTTGGAAATCCCAGTCATCATACGATGATGCATACGTACAGGGAATAACGAATATCATCAACTTCTCGGATTTGGAACAAATTCAAATACACAAGACTCATGTGCAATTCGTCCACAGACCCCACATTTGTTCATCCAAAGACGCAACAAAGATGACGTACTACAAACTGAATAATTTCTCATGCCCCGTGTGTCCGAACGGGTAAGTACATCGCTGATATGCTAAATATACCATTTCAATTTTATCGATTTGATTTTTGAATTTCTGTCAAAAATAAATAAAGATTTTCTTAGTATTTTTTTTTACATCTGGTTCATTTCTCAGGAATAATCCGTCAGAATACATAGAAATTTTGGCGTATTTTTGCATTGTGGCTAAATCATTCTTGATTAGACAGTTAATTTTTCATGCAATTAAAACTTCTGCAATAATTGTTATACTATAGTTTAGAAAGTGTACTGGTTTTTAAAGTCCACAATATTCCAAATTATGTGAACAGCATTGTAGAAACATTTTTTTAACATGGGCTTTCAAGAGACGTTTTTTGTTCAAGGAAAAAGAGTAACTGGGTTTGTGCACAGGACGATAAACAAATGTGGATCGCAGAGACTGGGTACATGAAATGTGACGGTGGTTCGCATATAGACAAAATCTGCAATTGGAAGTGGGACTGTGGCAATCATGGTTCGCACCCATTTGATCGCTTTCAGTACGCAGACTTTGAAGGCTTCTCATATTCCTTGTCTCAGGCCGTGCAGTTAATGGGGACTGCGGGGGCGCAATGGGTAGGAGCGTTATGCGTAGAGCTCGGGAAACAATATGGGTAAGAAACTAGTTAGACTCCAGATTGAAAATCTGGAGTCTATTGTTTTTGCCTGTTTTCTTATTATTCTTTTTTCTTTCTTTCTTCTTCCTCCTAACAGATTTTCTCTCCAACTATAACATCTTACTTAATACAACTTACATGGTTAACTAAAGATTGTATCCGGCTTTCTGGGAAATTATGTCAAATTTTTATCTAGGTCAAGAACTAGGTCAAATCTTACATTTTCAACATTCTTCATCATATCTTCGTCAATATTCTTCGTAACTCCTTCATCTTTTTTTCATCGTGTAGCTTAGAAAAAGGCGAATCAAAGATATGACATCAGAATTTTGATTACTCTTACCGATTTTGAGATATGGCGTCCGGAAAGTAGGTCAGAACAAAAAGTTCTCCAAATTCATCATGTGAGTTATGAAATAAGTGTAGAATGATCTCAGGAATCCGAATCTGCAAACCAAATTTGGATCGGACTTCCGGTTCGGAAGTTATGGCGTTTTGAAAGCTCAAAAATCGCTAAATTTGGTGCCTATGTTAAGTCAATGGGAAAAAAGACTTTTTCGAAGTGTAAAATACAAGATATAGACTGAGTACAGCTTAACATAATGAATGCTTATAAAAGAAGGGGACCTCAAAAGCTACATAGCTTCAAAATTTGGACACCAAAATGCCTAGGTCAAAATCTAGGTCAAATTCATAGTTTTCCTTATTTTTACGATTCTGACACTACACTTTAATGATTTACTTCAAAATTTTGTATACAGGTAGCAAAGAGTGTGCTAATAGTGTTAGCCTTTTGCCGTTAGAAAGTATTTTGACCCACTTTTGAGATATGGTGTCCGAAAAGTAGCTCAAAATAAAAAGTTCTCCAAATTTAACATATGAGCTATGAATTAAGGGTAGAATTTTCCCAGGAATCCGAATCTGCAAATCAAATTTCAATCCGACTTTCGGTTCGGAAGTTATGGCGTTTTGAAAGCTCAAAAATCGCTAAATTTGGTGCCCCATGTTATGTCAATGAGAAAAAAGATTTTTTTGAAGTGTAAAATACCAGATATAGACTGAGTACAGCTTAACATTCTGAAAGCCTATAAAAGAAGGGGACCTCGAAGGCTATCTAGCTTTAAAATTTGGACACCAAAATGCCTAGATCAAAATCTAGGTCAAATTCATAGTTTTTCCTTATTTTTGCGATTCTGACATTACACTTTAATGATTTTCTTCGAAATTTTGTATACAGGTAGCAAAGAGTGTGCTTATAGTGTTAGCCTTCTGCCGTCAGAAAGTATTTTGACCCACTTTTGAGATATGGTGTCTGAAAAGTAGGTCAAAATAAAAAGTTCTCCAAATTTAACGTATGAGTTATGAATTAAGGGAAGAATTTTCTCAGGAATCAGAATCTTTAAACCAAATTTCGATCCAACTCCTGATTAGATAGTTACAGCGGTTTGAAGTCTCGAAAAGTTGATATGATGATATCCCCATGTTTAGCCAATGGAGTCGAAGATAACATTCTTAAGAGTTGTCTAAATGTCTAAATTCTAGCTGACTCAGCTTATTCTGAATGACTCAGCTTACAAGTATTTGGATGACTCAGCTTAAAAAAAGTCTGAAATCTGGAGTCTTAAATTGAACTTGTTCAATTTACATGTCTAGTTTGTACATTTGTGTTTTCATTTGCGCGATGTTTGTGATCGCTTGCGAACATATGCAATCTCGAACAACCGGGGCCAGGGGTTATTTTACATAAAGAATTGGGCTAGTAAATTCTCTGGGATGTAGTACCATGTTATCTGAACTATTGCACACGTATAACCATCAGCATTCAACAATGATACCATCTGTTAGTAACTATATATGTTCAATAAGAATTAGTATAAATTAAAACTGCAAGTATTCCTTATCTATTTTCCAGGAGGGAATAGGATAATACTTAGCAGAAACAGTAGTAGATAATCCACAACATGCACACCCAGCTCCTACACGTATACTCATTGAGGACATTCCAGGGTGAAATAGACATGACTAGACACTTCTTACAATGTGTATATGTGTAGAATATCATTATCAGAACACTGGAATAACCCCTGTGACCCCATGTATTGATAGTGCAGAGTCACAAAAGGTGAAGACAGATAACCACTATTAGGACTGGACCATGGTAAAATGTGCAGGTCTATTTTTTCTAAATAATTTTTTTCTGGTCATATTTCTATCATTTTGACACCAGTTTTTCCGACATCCAGTAGACGTTTCAATATGGCCTGTATTTAACCTTATATGATAAAGAGGGCTCAGATGATAGATCCTAAATCCAAGAGCTGAAAGCAGTACCAATACTCAAATATTGCTACAGTAAGCTGCCTATAGAGACCTAGATTTTCGATTTGTAAATATAATAAATATAATGTACATATTGTAATTTCATCATGTTTTGTTGGATATCACTGCAAGTAGTTGTTAATCAATCACTAATAAAATGTACAAATTCAATTTTTCCAATTTTATTACAAGAAGTCATTCATTGCATACATCAAAAGCTAATACAGTCATGTACATGTTGTAATTATATATACATCAAGATTCAAATGTACAAAACTCAGTTAGCCATTATCTAAAATGCGTTTAAAACAACATATATTTCTACATACATAAAGTCAACAGTAAGAACGTTCTACTGTGAATTGTAAGTTATAAACCAGATTCATATGGGTATTTCTTCCTCATTCCTCATACATACCATCAGGCACACGTACAAGTTAAGATATTTAAGAGTTTAAAACACAAAGTGAACATTTTTGCAACATACAAACACATTTTGCTCTTAGCGCATTTTAAAAACAGATTCTCACACTCAAACCAAGGCAGACAGGCATTCAATGATTTTTTTTTACATTTGGCTTGTATTGATCAAAATATAATAAATTAACATATAATGAGGAAACAATGTAGTTTCTCTCCTATAATGCTATGGCAAAGTTTCCTATTGATTAAACAAGACACGTTGATGAATATCACACAATGGAGAACACAATGGTCCTGATGGTTGTCGTATAATTCACCAAACATGCCCTAAACTTAATAATCAGATCTTGGTATAAGTCTGCTCTAGCGTATGTACACATTTTTGATGGTACATTTATGTGGGGTCCACCTAGCCAGCAGCCCATGACAACAACAATATAGCACTCTTGAAAGTGTGATTTAAAGAATGTTCATGAGTCTGTTATCCATAATATTCAGGTAAATAACACATTTATTTTAGAAAGTATTTCAACTTGCCAAACTTTGCCATATCCTTAGATAAGATTGAAACTTAAAATTGTCAGATGATGAGATTAAAAATAAATAAAATACTGGCAAGATTTCATTTTTTATAATATCAATACTGTAGTTGCATTGCAAAACCGTGTAGTGAGTACCAAACATGAGCAAATTAATGATTGCATTTCATAAACTGACATCGATTTGGCATTTCATAAACTGACATCGATGTGGTATTTCATAAACTGACATCGAAGTGGCATTTCATAAACTGACATTGATGTGGTGGCTATAGGACTATATACATACATATTATTCACTATTCAGTAATACAAATATCATTACACCTCATTATGCCATTCACATTAACTGAATCAATTCAATCACATTATTTCCAACAACTTCACCACATCATGCATATCATAATAAATAATGTAGCACTTATTTCATGATTTTCTCAACTGTTCCTCATCCATTCTCACTTAAAATAACTCTGACTAAAAAATTGTCTAAAACTGTGTGAGATACTCTCATATGTCAAGTTGTATCTTTACTTTAATTGGTTATTTTTAAATTCTTGGCCGAGTCCCTCCTGGGGGCGAGTATACAGTTTGAGAGACTGAGAGTGAGCTAGACTATAGAAGTCCAAGGTGCAGATGAGCCATGATTCTCCATTTCAGCATTAGGTCCCTTTGGACTGCACCAACTAGGCTTAACAGCTTCACTATCATAAGATGGAATATTATCATTGGTACTTCGTACACGGAATTTATTAACAGGTTTGGGTTTAGGTTCTGGTGGTTCAGAGTTTGCTCTTGATCTCATCTCAACGTGCTCTTCGCATGTAGAGCTATGTGGCATGGAGGAATATGGCTTATTATGATCGTGTGGTTCTTCATTGATGGTCTCTTGGAAAAATCCACTTTCTCCTTTAGTTGGCGACATTGATTTTGACAATACTGTCCGTGGTTTTTGGTAAATACTAGGTTTGAATTTGATTTCATCTTGAGCTGTACTAGAACCGTCTTTACTTTCAAATTGATTCAATAATTCTTTTACACTCTTTTTACGCTCAACTTTTTTCCCGCTGCGTGTGATTATTTCCACTGTTTCGCTGGGTTTTGGTTTCACTGGTGTGACCTTGTCAGATGGGCTGTGTTTTTGTTCATTAATCTCAACATCCTTATCATTTAATGATGGGATCCCTACTGCATTGTTTGATTGTGCCACTGAGGTGGTTTTAAATAAAGTGCTGTTATCAGCAGTTTTGTGTAATTTAGAATCACTCGTATCAACAGAGGGAGTGTGTACGGCATTCTCAACAGCAGAGTCTGAGTCGCTAGAAGAGGGAGGGGCAGATCTACGTTTAAATGATGGCTTCAGCGCCACCTTTGGAGCATATTTCTTACTACTCTCAGGAGACTGATCACATCCCCATGTTTTCCTATTAACAGGTGGCGTACACTCCATGGATGTTGTAACTGATTTCTCCGTTTCAAGAGGGCTAGGTGTCTTTCTAAATTGTACAGAATTTGATTGGTCTAAGTCATGTTTTTCAAATAATTTCAATTTTTCTCTCGTCTTTGACCCAAATGAATTGCGTTGATTGATCAAGTCTCTCACTGTTTTATGTTCCTCATTGTCTGTGATTCTGTTGTACCTTCCTTTACCATGGTCTTCAATATTTTCATTTATGGCACCTGCCACATGTGTATTGTCATCTGTGGTACCATCGCCTTGAATTTCATCATCAAGAGCAGTATGGCTTGGTGATTTCACTGGAGAGGCAGTTACAGATCCTGGAAGTATACAAAAAGAACAATTATTCATAATTCAACTCGCACCCCAGTTTTACTGGATTTGAACCAGTGGTTGAGCTATTTTACAATAATATGCATTTTGGACACCAGAGAAATGCAAATGCACTGACAGATCCAAAACTAACAAGGTGGGCCACATTTGAAGTCAAGAAAAAAATGTTTCCTGGAAAAACAATTAGGGCCCCCTAACACCAAAAATTGGACCCAAATTGTAAATATTTATGGCCTATATTTTCATAATTTGCCTAAAAAAGCCCCAAAAAGCCAAGTTATGCCCAGAGGCCTAATTTTGAGGCCTTAAAAATGTTCTGGGCCCACCCTAGGTGGGGGGGGGGGCAAGGGGCTGGATCCGCCAGTGATTAATGCTACAAGAATATTTAACATACTAATAAAAGTTGGCTGTATGTTTGGGGATCTATTATCCTATTCTTGAATCACTGATTCAAATAATTTACATGGAGTCCTAATCCTACTGGCACGAATTCTTGTAATTTTGTGTTTTGTAAACATCTTATAATTTCTTTTTGGCAAGGAAAGCAAAACTACCTAAGAAGCTCTACAACAAATTCTTTACAAAACCTTTTTGATGACCCTTGTATCATGAAACTAAATTCAAATCACACAGTTGATGAAGTGATAAATGGTCATGCAATAGTCGATAAAAATGCAAAATAAAAGCTCCATTATGCAGAGTTTGATATCTCAAAAAGTTTGTACCGTGAGTGTACCATAATTGATTTGATTTTGAACAAGATGCAGTGAAATCTAAATGTGCTGTACCTGGCTGTGAAATAGACTCTAGAGGCAAGTCACTGTATGCATGCGCCACACGTGCAGTTACACGTATATAGGCATCTGTGTTTAGAGGGTGACGGTACACAGGAGATTGCCCAGGGGAGCTACCCTGCTCTAATCCCCTATCTGCACTGCCTGCTGGTGAAACTGGGACATCCTGGGGGGTGCTGACATGTGTTTCATGTGAAGGGCTTGGTTGGTGTTTAATCTCTGATTGAGAATCATGTTCTGTGTGTTGCTTATAGGAGGATGTCTCCTGTATTGAACTAGTGAGGAAATCAGGAGTATCCTCCTGTGAATATGGGTCATGCTTGTCACTCTGGAATTCTGTAGCAAGGGAACTATCTTGCCGTGTGTGATAACTATCTGATGTTACATCTAAGTAATGTTTTTCCTCCCTGGGAGATATACCTTCATGTGAGGGCTCCTGTGTATGGGACTCATCTGATGGGATTTCTGTTCTCTGATTTGCTGATGACTGTCTAGCAAGAAACACCATCTCAGGGGTATCTAGGTCACGGTCATAATACTGTTTAATACTGTCAGAACTTGTTATGCTATGTATTGGTTTAGCATGAATATCATTTTCAGCTCCAATTTGGATTTCTAAATCTTTGGAGTCATCATGCATTGAATCGGTAGGATCAAGTTCATCAATATTTGTGCATTGAACTCCAGGAATGCTGTCTGGGTAAATATCTTCATTGCATGCTGGGTAAATATTACCTCCTGTTTTTACATCAAGGTTTCTATAGTGATGTTGATTATCTTGGCCATTTGGTTGGCTTGTAACATCAAACTGTCCATCATCAATAGGACTTTCAGGGGTATCAAGTCGATCAAGAACCTCAAATGGGAGAGCGACTTGAGGAGATTTGGGACTTTTAACAGGAGAATACGCTGCATTGGAATATGGGTGATATCTGTCCTTTGTTTTATCATTGTCAATGTCTTTCTGAGCTGACCTGATTGTTGGGTCAAACCACTGAGTATCACAATCATCAATATTAGTAACCTTCACATCATCCATTGCCTGTTCCTGCCCTATTGCACATGGGAAATCAGTCTCTAGTAAAGTCTCAAAATGTTCTTTTGGTGGCTCATGTAATTTTCTTTGTGGTGGGTCATGATAGTTATCCAGTTTGCTGTCAAAATCAGTCTGAGGGATGTCTGTCTTGACATGGTAACTCCCAGTGGAGCTCAAATGTTTATCTGTGTCATGTAATGTATTTGTGTTGTCATGATCACTCATGTTTTTATCAAAGTCAATAGACATCTTATCCGATTCAGAGCCTGGTATGCTATGCGGTGACATGCTGGTCATTGATTGGTCAAGACTACCTCGGGAATGATGATGTTCTATGTGATCTGCATCTGATATTACATTAACACTATCCTGACTCATGTATTCATCTTTATGTTTTATATTTTCATCAGCAATCATCTGATCAATGTCAGTTTCCCCAGTCTCATTCTCAACGTCAAAATACATCTGTTTATATAGGGAATCTCGAGCTTCTGGTTCTGTCTGTTTCAGAGTTATGTCCCGTTGGTCTTGAGTACTATCTGTATGGCTGTGAATACTGTCATAACTTTGAGTACGTGTATGGCTCTGCGCGCTTGTATTAGACACCAAGCTAGCACTGCTATAACGATCTGATGTCACTTGTGGTTCGGGAATATTAGCAGCGGGTGATGTTGAGTACACAGGGGGTGAGGCTGAGTACCCAGGGGCTCTCTCTAAACGCACTGAATGAACTCGTTTAAACTCTCCAGTTTCATCCTCGCTAAGACCTCCATATGAAGAATGGGTCGAGTGCAATGATGAGCTACTCATGTTACCAACCGATTGTTTCCTCTCTAGGTCAGATGGTAGCTTCTCAGTGGAAATGTCTAGGGGTTTATCCTTATATGAGGCCCTATGGAGTCTTTGCTGAGATGTCTGGGTCATTTTGGATTCCATATCAAGGTTGCCATGTTCGTCAAACATTGTGGCACAACTATCCGACATGTTAAGATCTGTGTATGTGGTGTTGTACTGAGACAAATCTTCCAGGGAGTCAAGGCCTGCTGGGATAGGTGACCCTTGTGTGTGATAATCTAAATCAGGTTCAAACTCAGGTGATAGTCTTTTAGAAAGTTCATCCAATGAATGTACTCTCCCTTGATTGCTATAATCCTGATCATCATCAGGATGATCTAAACTTTTGGATCTCTGTTTATATGAGGCCTGTCTATGAAGGGTATCTACCCAATCAGAGCCCATCTTTCTCTTCGCTCCTGGGCTCTCGCATAATTGAATAGGAAATACATCCTCTTGCGTGGCAGTATCTGTGACATACTCACTAGTAGGGGAGGGATAGCGCGGCTTGGGGGTGGAATACGCGAGGCTAGTATCACTGGCTATGGCCTCACTGTAGGACTTAGAGTGATGTACATGTGGTGAAGAGAGGGCAGCACTGTCACTCTGTGAACGTATATGTAACCCCCCTCCCGCACCATACGCAGGCTCATACATATCCAATGAGTGTGTGAAATCATCATGTGCATGCTGTGTATAATGAACAGTGCCAGAGTCATGCTGTGCTATGTCACCTTCATAAGTGAGACCCTCCTCTGGTATATTCATATAGTTTGACACCCTGTGTCTGGGAGGTGGGCTAGGGCCGGTGGGGTAATCAGGACTAGGCTCAGAGATCCCATAACTTGAACCCTCAGAGCTGGCTTTAGATAGCCGCAGACTGTCTCTCCTGGGTGGAGGAAGAGGGGGTGCAGTGTCCCTAGAGCGCCTGGGAGGCAATTCTGGCGCAGAATCGTCTGTATGTTCTGATCCACAACTTAAATGAGGTTGGAAGGTTGATAACAAGGAAGCTCTACTGGAATCTGATTGGCTGGCTGATGAGCTTGGTCTTAGAAAATGTGATGGGTATTCCTCTTGCATTTCACTGAGAATCTGCGTCTTTTGTTCCAGAGCCTCACGCTCATGTAATATGTTGAAGTCTGTGACGTCACTGTCGTACATGTGAGAAGACCTCTTAGAGGGACTTCCCTTCAGGTTTTTGCTTGGGGAGCGTAGCATCTTGAATGCTGAAAACAAAGTGGATGTGACGTTAACAATATGAATGTGACAGGTTTATAAGTAATTTAGATAGGGAGACATGTTATGCCCAGCGAACATGCCTCAAACGTACATATATCATCAAACTGAATGTAAAAAATCTTTTAACAATAGCTATTAATCAATGCCGTGGTGATTGACTTTCATGACCAAGTTTCAAATATTACCCACCATCGTCTGAGAGAGAGAATGCTGAGCCAAAGTCCAACTGGGGAAAGGACTCCTCGGAAGATGACCTCTTCAATCCATTGCTAGCTGTCTCCATGGATACAGGCCTACTGCGGAAAGAATGCCTCTCACCTGCAAGATATGTATTATATAATTCAAGAGTTATTTCAGAGTACAGATATACTCTATATGCTGGTACAAAAATAATTGAATACTTTATTCTAGTAGCCAGGACAGAACAATTTTTTAATTACTTAAAATCAATTCTAATACAATGACGATTGCCTCCACTTCAAAATTGGCATATTTTGTTTATAAATTATGAAGAAATCTCAATTTGCCTTTTATGAATTTTAATGTAGTCAATTAACAATGTAAATATGCAACATTGGATATACAGTATGACCAGTGCACAGATAAGGAAAACAGCTCTTGGGGGTGTAATTAAATACAGTCATATAACTTCTGTTGAAAAGTTCAATTTAATAGACCTGCAGCCCAGACTCACTTATAAAAGAGTTAGTCTTATTAGATAAGTTATCATCATTGTTCACTGAGGTCCTTTGGCTGCTGCCCCCTGACAACAAAGAGTCAGCACTACGCACTGAACGCAACCTGCGACGTCTCGCAATATCCTCTTCTGTCAGAGCAAGTTGCTCTTCAAGTGGCAATTGCATATGATCCCCTGTAAAACAAAGAGTACATACTGAGTCATTTATTTTTTAAGTCATAAGTACAAATATAACTTCTACAAATCATTTTCAATGTTACAATTAAAAGGAGTAACATAATGCAGGGCGTCCAAGACTTTTGGATCACCCCTTGTACATAGTGAATTCATTATTAACGACTAATACAAGGCAAGGGTTTAATTTTTACTTTTAAAATTTACCAATCGACTTGAGTATTATAGATTGTGGATTTTAAGTTTGGTTTTATAATTTCTTTTAATCTTAATAAGAACTTTTAATTTTAAAAGTTCTTTGCAATATTACCTGGCCCTTCACTGGATTTTCTGTATCGTCCTTTCACACTTCCCTGTTTGCCTTTTCCACTGCTGAAGAAAGATTTCAATGTGCTTCCTGGGGATTTGCGGTCCTTTCCCCGCTTCTTCCTAGAATCATAGACATACAATAATCTGATCATTTTTTAAAAGTTCTTTTTGTTAAATGTTTGGAAATTCAACCATATGAAAAATGAAAAAGCCAACTACTCTCTTTTTCTTTTTTTTTGAAAACACAGAAAATATCATTTAAATTAAATTGATAAATCCATTAAGAAATTCACATATGGACTTTACAGATGAAAATAAAAGAAATCATTCAGAAAGCTACAATATTTGAATATTTGGTAATTTTGTATAGAATGACAAAAAAGAAAATTTATTCCTAATGAAAGATTATTCCTAATTGGCTCTGTATAAAACCCTCTTATATACCATATGGTATAGGTCTACCTCTTGGTGAGGAGTAATAGTTTATGATAACATTACAAATTCATATATTTAACTATATGTGGAAACAGTATATTCTGTGCATTGCATATCTACTGTACACAAGCAAAGTGACTGAAATCATGATTTATGAACTTAAGTCTCTAGAAACTTGTTCATATTGCGCAAAAAACATTAACTGTGGAGAGAGTTATCAAATCAATCTGAAAGTCTGAATCACTGTACAATTTAAACATTTAGCTCAGCTGTGCTCAAAACTATCAACAAAAAAAACTAAAACAAAATTGAGAGCTGAAATGTTGCAAAAATCACAAAATAATTAAAATCATATTTTGCTTGAAAATGAAGGCATCCATGCATTGATGTTGCTGTGTGCGATATATTTCTAGCTAGCTTACCACATAGGTAACATGCATGAACAACCAATGAGGGAGTCACTACTTAGCTCTGTTGGCATCATGTAGCTGAACACAGAGACAAATCGAAGTTTTAAACCATCACCCAATTGCATTTCATAGAACATGGTTAAGACTTGTTAAATACTAGAAATAATTGTGGAACAGAAGCTTTGCTATATAGCCTCAAAATCTTGAAGTCTAGTTGTTTTTAATTAGCATTTTCTAACTGCGGGGCTCCAAGGATAAGGAGGAATGAGGTTTTAAGCCTTGTGTATGGAGCATATAATAAGATTATCATCCATTTATTCGTCTACATAGCAGTCTACTTTGAGTGATAAAAAGAGAAGCCCCATATACCATTTTTTCTGTGCCTCTATATTTCAAGACTCTGACGAGCCTAGCCATGTGTGGAATAATATGATGGTGAATTACTGGATATTATTTGCACAGAACATGAACATCTCAAACTATGGCTATTAAGAAGAGATGTACAACATATGCCAACAGCAATGTGATCAGCCAATGACTTTGATATTTGTAAGTTGAGAGGTTTAACACTACATTTTAAAATCGCAAACAATGAACTTGCCAAGCCATGCCAACAATAATGAGGGTATTCATATTTCAAATTGCTTTTCTGCACATTAAGCTGCATTACAGTGTTAAGCCTTCAATATCTTACCCTGGTAGGTCAATGACTGTGTGGTATTTAGAGGGGAGATTAGATGGTCCCCCTCCCACTTCAATGTACTTCTGGTCCCCTGCATTAGAGGTACTCAGGGCCCTCTCCCTGGCCTGTTCCAGAGATAATAGCTTGGTAGGTGTGGAGATGGCAAGAGATTTAGGGCGCATTCTTTTACTATCACCTACATCAAACAATAGAACATTGTCAATGCAGTTACCAGACACATAATTGATAAGTAAATAACCTAGGTAATATAGATAACATAGGTAATGTTTATCCAGTTCCTTATATAACATTTTTATAATATTTGATGTACTGTTGATCGTTTTAATTAATCCATGATTCCTCCATAGAATAGTTGTTCGTTTACTTTAATGGTAATGTTTTATGAATTAATGTATGAATATCATTTTACAATTGGAGTTGTTTTTGTGAATTAAAATCAAATACCTCTAGTTTTTTCTCCAGTGAAATTGGGTAGTTCTTTATCATTGAAGAGTAGATCAGCGTATCGTACAAGGTACTCCGTCACAACAGCTTGGACCCCCACCCCCTGCAAGGCAGCAGCGTTACCCCGTGTTTCCAATTCTTTAGATCTGAAGTAGTGAAAAGAAATAAATTGGTTGAAAGTACAGTGTTTGTGATGTATTTTCAGAATACCTTATTGTGGTTTTCCCATACTTCTAAAATAGGTTACTTAAATAAATGTTTTATTATTTGAATGGACTTGTAAATGCTTTGAAACCACAATGACAGACTATGAGACCGCAGGACATAATAAACACATGCAAGAACGGGAATGTATAGTTTACAGACTTTAGATCACAAGTTGCTAAGATTCTCAATATTTTTAATAAAATAACAATGTAAACTGCCCAGACACCATTTAGCTAGAAATACTAGAGTGGTACCATAGGGGTAGAGCTATAACAACACAACAGCAAAGAATGCCAGACCTACCTCATTAAGTTAGGGGCCCAAACTATGGCAATGTTTTTAGAGTGCATGGCTGTCTTTGATGAAAAGGAGGCCATCTTACTCAGGTGCTTCATAAGGAATGCACATGTCCTATAACATAAAAATATACATAACATGTAGTTTAAAATGAGATATTAATATTTGAGAATCACAAAATCTGGTTACTCAATGGCGTTTAGGCCTATTGGTTTCATTTTACAAATATATGGTCCTTGTATATTTATATGTGATACAAAAGTATACAAAAGCTTTGGATTATAGTAAAACCTGTATATCTGAAGACCTCTCTAATCTTAACACCTCTTTATATGTGAAAGCCTTTTTCTGTCCCATGTTAAAAAATCTCAAGATCTGAACATTTTTTGCTTGTCCCAGTGGTGTTTGGACAGGTTCTACTGCATACAAAAACTTCTGAAACAGCCCTTGTATATAAAGCCTATAGACAGCTTCTACTGTGTATAAAACTTCTGGAACAGCTAAAGACAGCTTCTACTGTGTATAAAACTTCTGGAACAGCCCTTGTATATAACATACCTGTAATGAGGAGGGGGAAGCTGATGTATGACATCATGGACCTTCATTAGTTTATTATCCCCTGCTTGTACTGCAGCAGCAAATTTATCATACAGCTGGTATGTAAGTAGAGGGTTGGGTAACTCCCTGAAGTACATCTTCACAAGAGAGCTTATACTATGGATGTCATTCAGGTAGCATTCTTCTGTCAAATCTGGCATGTTTTCTGTGTCACTGTCACATAGTACCCTGGAAACAATGATATTAAATTTACATTCTCATTTTTTCAATGAACTTTTTTTCTATTAATGTAGGCATGCTGGGCTTACTCTGTTCTTAAGTCAGAGAAATGCATAATTATGTATCATTTCTTTGGCTGTTATCATGTACTTTTTTGGAAATGTGTACATGTGCCAGTATAATATATAGGGTGTCTCAAAAAAATATACCCAAAAGTATATCAACACCACAGACAAATCAATCAATATTTTCAGACATTTTTTGCATGGTCGTGTAGATAAAAGATGAAAGTTTTTCCCCCCATGCACAGTTTTTAATTCAGTTTTGCCTTTTTGATACTTTAACCCGTTACCTTTTACACCACATATTCAATGTAACCTCATATTTCGATGACAGTCTGCATCCTTACTACTACATTGTTCATCACATTTGATATTTCTGGTGGAATGTTTTGATTTCTGTTTGGATGCTGGTCTTAAATTGTTATTGGTCTCTTATAGCCTGGGTTTAGCATAAAAATGGTCCTTCAAATAGCATCAGAGAAAAAAGTATGGGCCGTCAAATCTGGTCAATGGGGAGGCCCTCACAATGTCTTATAGTCCCCTTATACAGAGAGGTCGGAGGTTCAAGAAACTGCATTGGCTGGGATTCTAGTGTAGCTTTTGTTGTGTGGATCAATTTGAGACCACTGCGTTTTCATTTGGATATCATTTGGTCTCCAGGCTAGCCTGTCTAACTCTGGAAGGTAACTCTTGAATCATTTGCCGAGAATTGACCTGATTATCAGTGTTTGTTCTGCCATCGTCATCCTCAAACATCTTTCTCTGTGGCTATCTGAAGGTGTCTTTTAATGCTCATTCCAAGCAAAAAGACCTAGAACAACTTAAGGGCAACATCCAAAGAGAAATCCAAAACAATCCACCAGAATTATTATCAAATGTGATGAACAATGTAGCAGTAAGGATACAGGCTGTCATCGGAATATGAGTTTACATCGATAATGTGGTATAAAAGGTAAATGGTTAAAGCATCAAAAAGACAAGACTGAAATAAAAATGGTGTATTAAGGAGAAAACTTTCATGTTTTGGCTACATGACCATGCAAAAAATGTCTGAAAATATTGATTGGTTTATCCGTGCTCTTGATATACTTTTGGGTACATTTTTTTGAGACACCCGATATAAGGTAGCATATATAATACGTCAAAAAGGGAAGTAGAGGGCACTTTACTGAACTGAATAAAATCAAGTCAAAAACCAACATACATGCACATAAACTATTACATCTCGATAGCATATACAATATGGTGGCTTAGTGATAAGCTGAATCAATGTACCTTTAAGTTAATGTAATATTAACATATTTTCTAGGATACTCAATACAAGAACACATATTCTGGGACATTCTTTACAAGTATACATAAATATGAACATACCTGAGTTTCTGTATATTGGAAGCCACGCCTGATAGTCTATATATCCCATCTACAACCCCATGGGTCTCTATGACCTCTGTACACACTTTCAGCACCAGTGGGATCTCATTACCCGTGTTGAGCAAATGTTCACCCAAGTCACATCCAAACACACGCTCTTTCACAATTCCACTGCGCTTAAGAGCATTTCTCTGAGGCCTCGTGTTAAAGAAATTGCGGAGGAAGGAAATTAATTTTCCTCTTCTTCGTAACACTGAAATATAATCATTATATCATGTGGGATTGGGAAGTGTTTCTGTTGTCTGGAAAGTCATTCATACGTTCAAGTGCTAGTGTCATCACTTTATAATTTGGCAAATGAATATTGTACTTTTAATTTAATTTATAGATCTTTTTGGTCTCAGTGAAATTTCTTTTAAAAAAACAAGCATTCTACTCAGGGTTTTTGTATGGGTACAAAATTCTCATTTTCATAATACTAACCAAAATTGATCAAAAATGTTAATATTTATGATAGTTCTCTTTGAATTTCAAGTAGATGCAGTGCCCACTTGCTTTAATGCTGGGGTGATCCCAGCTACCTTCAGGTTATAACATGAATGCATTTCTGAGTGATAAATTAATGTACCTTCTTTTGGAGGTGTTGCTGGAATCTTGGAGACAACTGACTGTGGAAGTCTTTCACCAATGATCTCTACATGTTCACATGGGAAATAGCCCACCTAAAAAATAATTTACTATACTTAACTTTAACATTATAAAAGGTCTCGAAACCTCATTATTATTCACAATGCGAACCAAATACATGTCCACAGGCAAATTATATTCAGTAAAGCCAGTCCAGTAAAGCTTGAACGAGGCTCAAATATTACGAGTCAGTACAGGCAAAAAAAGCACACTCCTCGTACGGACCCTGATGCAATTTGCCTGTTCAAATGACATCAAGATATGGTGACAGGATGAACAGAACTATGTATATACGTCAGCTGCATTGTATGGATTAGCCATATAAAAACATGTTTTTTTTTTGTTTTTTTTTAAATTAAAATTTATTCACATACAACTCAACATTTCAAAATACAATAGGCTATTTCATAAAAAATATGTTTAAACACATTTTCTCAATCATCAATGTTTCTTACATATTTTTCATATTCAAACATTACAGATATATTTTTTCTTTCATTTGAAAACTTAAAGTCATGTATAGTTTTCTTTATTACAAGTGTCTTATATAGTAATTTTTTATCTAATATTCCTATTCCTATTTTCTCATTTTCATTCAAATCTACATCTTTCCAAATATTTTTTATAGCATTACAATGTATAAAAAAATGTTCAATATTATCAATTTCATTACATAGTTTACATAAATCAGATTGTTCTATGTTATATCTTTTTAATAAACCGCCATGTGGATATATACAATGGAAGATTTTCCATTGGATACTTAAAAGACCAGAGTCTGACGTGCATTTAAAAAGCTGATTTAAAACATGCTGATATAAAAACATGTTGATTCTCTATTAGGTGATCTCATGTGATGAAGGACAATGTAACTAGACTGGGAAGTAAATTACACTAAACTGAACTCACATTTATGAACCATAGATGTATAAAATGCAACATAAATTCTCTCCGTCTATTCAACATGCAGAACTAGAAAATCAGTGTGAACTCTAAATAACATCACCCATTAAATAACATTCCCAAAATAGACAAGATTCCTAATTGAGGTTGGCTTAGAAAACAAAACAAACTTATTTTACACTTCAAAATAAACTGTAATATGAATAGAATGAAATGCTTCATGTTTCTTACCACAAAGCCCTTCTTGCCTCTCCACCAAACAGTGTCCTCAGCTGGGGGCATGTCAATCACAGAGATCATATCTCCAACCTAAAGTAGGAAACAATCGCGTAAACAAATGTGTTCATTATCGTCATAACAATGCAGTATCAAGTTATGAGGAAGAGTGATATCAAATGAATTGAAGATTATTGTTTCTAAATTTTAAGGACATGTGTACGATGCTGTGCCTTATTGTTTCAAAATTCAATCGGTTATGTATAATATGTGATTGTATACATGATACTGATACCATTACAGCCATTATATGATAATATCAATGTCGATTTGTTATTAACACTTGAAAAAGTATGATTTGATGAGGAATTTGAGATTCTACAGAAACTGTTACAGCCTAGCTAATAGCCCATAATAACTAATAGCAAAACAGATTAGCAATACTAGTAATATTCACTCATTGTCATTTAACATAATATTATTTTTTACCTCCAGGTTAATTTCATCAGGTGCTTGTTCAGAGTAGCGTTTGATTACATGTGCACATGCCACTGCTGGGGTGTTGATGGCTGATTCGTCTGTCACAATCAGCCGGTTACCACGGTTATCCATCTAAAAATAAACAACAGAAAAGACTATGAATATTCAAATTGTAATTGAGTACATTATTACATCTGCATACAAACTAGTAAGAGTGCTCAGATGTGAGGTAATTCAATTAATAAGGCAACTTACAGTAGTAAACAAACAAACAAACAAATAAACAAACTTAACAAAACCCCAATGTCTTTTTGGCTTGAATAAGGAAGGGACTTTACAGGCAACACCTACCTCAAACCAGTTGAGTACAGGACCACAGTTGATCATACTGCCTGCTATATTGGAAAGACGACCCAGGTATAGGGCTAATCGTTGTTGGAATGGCTGAAAGTGGAATGAGTACACATGTATTAGGTCATCAATGCATCTTACACACATTTTAGCTGAAAATATTTGTTTGAGCATCTAAAGGTGACACCGACTTTCATGTTTTTAACAGATTTTACTGTCATAAGTTCTACTTTTGAATGGAGTTTTGACTGGTATTTTGTTTAAAACTGCAATAGTGAATTTCTATTGTAATTGTACTCACAGACAATAGTAAATTATATGACAAATCAAAAGATGACATACTCTATGAACAGATCATCTCGAATGACACATGCTTTTTTATCAACCTTACAAAGGTCCCATTCAATCCCTGAACAGTAACATATAATATTTTATCAATGAGAAATGCCAATGAATTCTTTTATTACTTAAATCCTTACAGTTTATTTAACAGCAAAAATATTTCATGATCATGAAGTTCCTAATTCCCGCTATCTTAAACCCTGGTTTACATAATCCCATTATACATAACTCATAAGGGAATATAGCACATTTTTTATTTTGAAAATAGAAATACCAACCTCCATGCCATCACTAAACAGGGAATCCCATTTCTTCAACTCTGGCAGCTTACTGTATTTTCTATCATAAATACATCTGTGTAGCTGCTTATCCAGGCTTCTGAAGTCCTCATAGCTGCGGGAGATTGTCCAGCGTTTGCCACCGTGGGACACCATAATGGAGAATAGAATGTCCTGCTCATTGTTCAGTGACCCTTGACCCCTGTGGAAATTTTCCTGATTTTCTTCACTCAGTTGAATCTGGAATTTTTCAGTGAAAAAATGATTAATTGATGATGAACTAACATGTGATTTATAACTAAACCACAAACCCACACACAAATACTGTAAATTGCTCTAATTTTTGCCAACATAATTGTAGCAATTTACTTATTCTTAACAAGATTGCTAATTCAAATCTCCATGATTATTCAGTTATGAGATTTTGATTTATTTTCACAAAAATTCACCAAAATAAAAAAGCAATGAGAGAGAGTTAAGAGGCAATTCACTAAAATTAAAAACTGCCAATTCAAACTAATTTACAGTAAGTCTAATAAACAAAGAAATAGCAAAAGTCAAGGCAACTTCTCAATTCATTTGCCAGGAGAATAATGGCTATGTAAATGGCTATATTGGTGGATGTGGTTACTCAAAAAAAGATGAAGAACATATGTTTTTATTTTCCATCCAATGTGAGATGTCAGTCTCTGTTGATTGCTTATAAACTGAAATTTTACTCACAATTTTGATTTGGTTGCTTACTTTGGTTAGTGTCATTGAAATAAATATGTAATTAAGCAGGATTGCGAAAGATCGAGCTGCATCGCCAAAACTATTTTCATGGTAGCAGTTGCTTATATGTTAAATTAGAGACTTAAGCCATTGAGTATGTATAATATGCTTCATGTGATGTGAAAATATGATAAAAACAGAAGAAATTTCAGTATTATGTTATAACATATATATGTTATATATATATGTATTACATACCTAGCGAAGCATTTGTATGGAACTCAATGGGAAAGTTAGCGAGCTATATCCACCGATATTGCCCGATTACCCCGATATAGCCCGCTTACCTCGTTTTGATATTAGATTTCTTTAATAACCATGATAATATCATGACGTCACGTCATTGATACAAAGTAACCATGGGAACAAAGGCATGTAATACATCAGTTATGTCACTATGACGTGAAATATGCCTTCTTTCTTGCCCAAATATAGAGCCTCCCAAGGTCGGCCTATATTGGGAGAACTCAGGCATATTTCACGTCATAGTGACATAACCTCTAAATATGTTATATACATATAGCAACTATTTATTTCACATACTGATACTGTATAATACTTATTGTAGATTCCTTACCTGTAGGGGGCCAAGCTCCACAAAGTCATAGTGGAAATGAGCACAATTGTCCAGCTTAGGAAATCTTGTACCATCATGTGGTCTGAAAGAATGTCACACAACAATTACACATGAGAAAATCTCCAAAATTCATAATATAAAAAGTTTGAAGAGTGTATGTGAAGAAACCAATAGATGAGGCATTATTTACTTTCAAGCAAATAGTTCGCTATATTCATTTGGACTTTTATTAAATGAGAAGACCTGCTACTGTAAAACCTGTATATTTGACCACCTCTTTAATCTGAACACCTCTCAATTTGAACACATTGAAGACTATTTTTAACAAATAGTTCTCTATATTGGGCTTTTATCGAATGAGGGGGTCTGTTACGTTGTAACTTACCTGGAAGTCATTTTCTTCATGCGTACACTAGCACTGCCATGACGTGCTTCCAAAGAGAGGCTATCGCTGCTGTCCGATATCGGAATGATCCCTCCCTGGAAATAAAACATAGATTGAATAATCAAGAATAACATTAATTCTAATCTTGAATCATACTTAACTTGTTTTATATATCTTACCATATAACATTCACTTTCCTGATCCTTGTTTATGTATAGTTATGTACTCCTGTTTATTCATAGATGTTCACTTTGATTTGAATCTTTTATATGTTGATGTTCTATTTGACAAGTTTCCTGCAATTTTCTACTTGATCAAAGTCCTGGAAATCCTAATTCTACTTCTCTCCAATACAATTTAGTCTAAACACACCTGAAATTTCCATTTCCAGTAAATCTGCTGAGTTTTTTTGTTTAGATTCTATCCAGGATATGCCCTATATAGAATACAGATGTTTTGTGTTTTTCAATTCGAATTGATAATACTTCAGCCAAAGTGTCGGTTTTCTTTAAACCAAATGTTGTTGATTTTTTCCACATCTTTGATGAAATATGAACAGTACAGCTGAAGTATTGCGAGATTCACGTCAACAGCGCCAAGATTGGGGTAACATTCAACAGAAAAACAGGGCCCATTGTATATATAAACAAAAAAACACACTTTGGTTTGTATTTCAAACCTAACATAAATTCTTTGAAAATCAGTAGTCTTATTGATATTTTATCAACAAGATACAGTATTGGAAAATATTTTTCTGTACTTTTACTGGTATATTTTGTATTTGTGGAATGGGCTCCTGGTTAAAATAATCTATTTAGCTTTAAATGGGACAAAATGAATAAAAAATATATATTTGAATTTACTTATATAAATGAGTGTCAAACATCAATTCGGATCATAATAAAGCATAACAACAGGAATTACTTACAAAAAGTAATAGAACACTGCTTATTATAAGTTTAGAGGGTTATTTTCAGTTTCATTATATTTATCAAATCTTAATTTAGAGCCTAACATGACTTGGGAATTTAGGATAAAAAGTGAACAACGTGCAGTTTTAAAAAATTATACTTTCAGAAGAACTACACCCCCAAAATGCAATCTGATTTTCGACGCCGTTTCAGTGCCAAATTTCGGTGCCGTCTCGGTGCCGTCTCGGTCCGGTAGCAAATTTTGGTGTGGAAAGGTTTCGGTGCCGGAACGGTGTCGAAACGGTGCCGGAATGGTGCCGAATTTGTTCGATGCCGAAACGGCGTCGAATTATATTGGCTGTGTATATGTATCAAACATAAAATATTACAAACCTGAGCCACCGTACATCAATTTAATAATAATTATGATTCCGCATTGCAATCAAAACTACCAAATTATATTTGTATTGTGTCTAGATACTTGTTAGTCTGTTCAAGGTTCAGTTCAATGGTATTCATAAATCATCACCCTGTGGCAGGCAATTTGTCAGGGGGGCAATGATACATGTACAGTCTATATCCTCTTTCACTTATCACTTAACATATGTTTTGAACATAACAACTTTACTTATGTTTACTTCATATTTCTTTTGTTCTTTTTGTTTTTGAACTTAATTTAAGCCTACCATTATTTGATGTGATGTATATGCTTCATCATTACTCAATACAATGAACAATTGAATTTTCTATATATAATATGTTTATTCTTTACAATAAATACTTTTTTGGATGAAATAAATAATACTTTATATAAATGTACATGACATAACATGTAACTGTATCAATAGGATTCGATTTTTATTTAAATTATGATATTATATGACATATTAACAGTAGATGTTTGTCTCTAGATCAAGAACGATTATTAAGATGTCAAGAATTGAAGCACCAAAGGAAAGACAGAGAAGGTGGGTAAAGCAGGGTGATGAACACTACAACTAAAAGCTTACTAACTAATCATATACATTGTTAAACAAACAACACACAAAATAATAACATTTAGTATGACCTGAAAAGTTAGTTTCCAAACACACATAAATCATGAAATCATTAACATGTAGTTAGTATGTAAAATACAAAGAAGAGGGAACCTCCCAAGACCCTTTCTTCCTGGTGAGATGGACCTCGAACAAAAGTTTCATATAATGAAGGAGGTATATAGAATAGGTGATTATAAGATCAACTATGAACTATGGGTTATCTCCTCCTCTTCAGTACATTCATGGTCAGATCTGTGAATGAAATAAAATCATGCATCTATTGTATGCATGATCAGGTCTAGGAATGAAGTGAAAATATATTGATGTATCTGTGATCAGACTAGTATCCACATGGTCAGACCTGTGACTAAAGTGATAGAATGTATTAATGTATACATGGTTAGACCTGTGAATAAAGTGAAAAATATCTATGCACACATGGTCAGACCTGTTATTAAAGTGAAAGCATATACATTTACATGTTAGGTGATTGATACTTTTTCAACAAACATTTTTAAACATTTTCAGGTTCAATGTTAGGTGACATGACGTTACCTTTGTATAAAACTGACTATTCCCGACATCCATGCGAATGGTTCCAAGCTTAGAGACATCTATCCTCACTGGGTCTGGATCCGTAGGTTCCCCTATCTCAGGCTAGAATACAAGGTACATGTAACAGCACAATATACAAATGTCTTGGAGGCAAGTCTGACTTGACAGATGCACAATGTCAAGGCCTGGTATAGAATCTAAAGATTCACATCATTGTCTATCAAATAAAATACTAAATCAGGGGTCCATTTTAGTACGATCGCATCTTACAATTCCGAGACAACCAGTGTCTAGACTTTTAGATGAACGATGAATTGTGGTCAAATCATTAGTTACACTGTTCAAAAATGGACCCCAGTATAATATTTCTACAAGGTACGCACTATGCAGTAAGCGAGATTCACGCAGAACATGATTCATCTAATCAATGAAAATCTATAACTGCAATCGTGTATTTCCATTTCAAATGCCTACTGCAAAGGTCCAATCTTAGATTAAGGTAGTTCTGCATAATGAGAATTGTAACCAATATTTAACAAAATAGGTGATATTTTCTCAATTTGTATGTGGATATTCACACACTGGGGTAGAATGGATTAGTTCAAAATCAAAATATTTTGAAGTAGTGCTGTAATATCATATTGCCCCAATTTTTTGTTTTCAATTTTTTTGTGAAAGTGCAGAACTACCTTAAGACCTCAAGTCTTTGTACCTCCCCCTTCCTTCCTCAATTCTCAAGTATGATGCTCAAGGAAGAAAAGAAGAGGGTAACACAGAGGCTGGATGACTAGATTTTCATTCCATGCATAAGTTATAAGTCAAAGGTCAACCGCAACATATCATATGGAAAACATAAACCATGCCAATACAAAGGGGTGAGCATTATCTACAGGGGGCATTCCAAAACATCCAAGACAAGACAGCTGTTAGAGCGCTTCAACTTAGCAAGATCACTCGAAGAATCAGATATGTTTGAAAATAAAATTGTTTCTCCTTATTGCATTTGTGAGTGACCAAGCCAGGTATATCACTGCTCTCCAACAAATGTTAAACATGGGCTTTAGACACACTACTATACCTTGCATTTGGTGTTCATGAGCAACCCATTTGGCTTATTAGTAATGATTATGTATTTGTTTTTATTTGTCTGTTCCTTATGAATGGTTTATCGGTTGAAAATTAGATGCTAGTAGGGCACTTTCAAAAATATATTAAACAATTCAATTAGACAAACAAAGTATCTTATGCATTTCTAGGTGTTAGGTATAGTAGTGTGTTAGATCACTAGAAGCCCATGTCTTATATCTGCAGTATTTCAAATTGTGAAATAATTTGTAAAAACAAATCATCAAACAAAATCCTATTTAGCATGAATATATTTATAAGCAGGTGGGATAAGGATGCAGGGGGATTGGGTGCTTGAAGATATAATGTTGAAAATAACTTTGAATTACTTTAAAATTACATTGACTTCCAGTTTTATTCTGTGTCAGTAAATGTCAACTTGAGGATAAATATTTATCATTGTGTTGGATATGTTCATTCATAAACTGTCACAATTCCAAGATTCGTTCTAAATTCTGGGTACTCCAGACAGTGGAATGTCTCATCTTAAAAATCTTACATTACAATTTTTGACATGTCACATTTGAATGTTATATTAAAATGCAACATTGCATAGATATGCTTTATATTGTTTTTACCTCATCCCAAGTATCATGTCACACATAATGTACTTATTTCAGGACACTGTTCATTTTCATAATTTAGTTAAATGACATACAGTCAATGTCCTATATTGTTTTTTAAACTGTATGTACAACTGCTATATAAGCCAGATAACTGGGTGAAATTAGCAAAAATAAATGTTTACATTGAAAACCATTAGTGACCTCTGAATAAGTATATGAAAAAACAGGATGGGTAGGAATAAGAAATTTAGTGTGAGATTAAGATCTCCCAGCTGCTAATGCCAGTCAGGATGATCAGTCCAGACTTTAAGGTCTCAAACAACAAAAGCTGACATTATCTTTAAAAAATGTATATTTTGCAATATTGTTTTTCTCTTGTTTAATATTATAAACAAATTACCATGAAAAATAACTAATTTGCTCTTAATAAGCATTTAGATGTTGAGAAAAGATAAATAAAACATATTGAGAACAAAGCAAATGTTCGACTGTATAGTTTATATATTGCAAAGTGTTCTGAGTAAATCATAAAAAATGCAATATATTTCATTGACTATATTAACATAACACATGATATAGCATGAATATTATGCAAAATGCTTTAAGAATAAAATAATGTTGAAATATATGATGTTGAACATCATCACATTGTTAATGAGGCCATTGTGTATTCTGCATAACATATTGAGTGACAGGTGTAGTTGTTCAACACTGCACCACTGCACCAAACATAAGCGTGAAAATGTACAGATTGAACTATACTATAAGGAAAGAAAAACAAAGCAATACTCATGAGTCGTTCTTGTGTTTATTGCTGGTCTTCAACTCCACAATACGTACAGGAGCTGGGTTTTTACATTCAGTGATTATCCTAGGAACTCCTAGTTCAGAAGTCTAAGCATTTGAGATTTGCTTCATCTCAGTCAATTAACACTTGACAGATCTGTTGATGTATTGGTATTTAATAGTCTTATACCAAGCCCCTATTCCCCCCATTCTCTCGGAGACAGGTTGCAGAAAGAATGGGAGAGTACGAATATACAGGGGTTTGATGTCAGACTAGTCACTTACATTGCGCTTCATAATTATGACCTACAATGCTTACCTTTGGTTGGTGCTGCATGTTTGAAGCATCAGGCTTAAGACTGAGGGGGGTAGACTTGCGACTGTGAACAGCTCCCCCTGGGTCAGACACCACCCTCACACCCCTGAAACACAGAATAATAACTAAAATGAAACAGAATGTACTATGACATCATTTTTCACAGAATAATCCTTTAAATGAGTCATAAACTGAAAGATATGTTTCCAAAATTGCCTGTTTTGTAACTGTTGCTATGTTAAAAGTATAATTTCCAATAATTTTGTTCGTTGTTTTAAATCAGTTTGGCTGTTATAATGAAACCCTGCTGAAAAACTGAAAGTTTTCCTCATTTACTGCTCTTTAATATTGCATATCCCCTTCTCGCCTAAAATACAATTTGGTTGAACTAATAAGAACAGAGGGAGGGCTTGTAGATATTAGGCATTATACAAGTCTATAATTGGAAACATGCACACAATACAGTTCTGGCATTTAAAAACAGTAATGTTCATAAAAAACAGTCCAAATTGCATCACCATGCATAAACTGCAAAATTCTCAGCATTTGGAATATCTGTAAGCAGATTCAGTAGATTAGTATGCATTGATTGAAAGCAGTTGTAGTTAGTTGTATCAATGAGCTTGTATAACAGGATTGATGAGTCAATCCAATCAGATACTGGATCAATATACCTCCTGTGTTACATACTCTTACATCATTGTGATATCTCCTCTGAACAAAGGAGGGTCAATGAGACCCATAATGCACCTTTAAACTTCTGAGGATGTAATATAGGATTTAAGTCTTAAAGTTATTCAAGAGTACATGATGTAATTACATATTCCTATAGCAAGATAAAATTTTCTTACAAGGATTACTCAGACACTTTATTCTTTACTGAGTCAATATTGAAATGGTTTCAAGTCCTGACTCGTCTTTTGTATAACCTAAATGAAACTAAATGTTGTAAATATGTTAGTAATTTCATGAGATAGGTATCTGTTTGATATTGTGTGCTATCTAATTATTATTTCCCTCTGGTGCTCATGATAAAAAGAACACATCAGTGAGAAAGGAGGCCGTTCTTTATAACAACATGTTATAAAATATACTACACTGAATCCTGAATATCCAAACACCTCTATGATCTGAACACCTCTCAATATGAACACTTTTTCATGTCCCATTTTTTAACCTCCAAAAGGATTCCATGTTAAAATTTGGAAATATGAACACCTGCCAATCTGAACCATTTTGTTCGGTTTCAGTAACATTCAGATTTGACAGGTTTACTGTATAGAGTCATCCCTAAGAGGATCATCTTATTAAAGACCAAGAAGGAGTCCTGGGAAAGTACTGAATACATAATCAGTGACCTTATATTGGGTTTGGGTATCAGAACCATAGTTTTAGATTATGCATTCAAAGTTAATAGCTCTTAGGTGGTGGTAGCTTATATAATCAATATGAATGCTTACATATTGCCCATAAATTCACTTACCATCAGAATGGTACTTATTTTATGTTCAGTACACTCATCAAATATTAAAATAGTTCAGATTCTTATCATTTTGCCGAGTCAGCAAAATCCTATCGGAGGTTTCACTAAAATTTCTCACAACAGGATAAATAAATGAAAACAGCAGGCAAAATTAATGAAATCATAAATTTAACATGGAAAAGTTGAAAAGTCCCTAAAAACAAGAGGCAATTTTGTGAAAACAACCAGTGAAAAACGCCTGTTGCCTTCTGCTAATTTCAATTTAATTCCTGAAATCCCAGTCTATTCGAGATGAAGCTCTCACTATTAACACTAATAGCTACAATCTGAACCACAAAATCCCAACATACACAAAGGATGTAAAACAAAAAGGTAGGTGATTTCTTGTACTGCATATCTTTTAAAAAAAACTGTTGAAAGCCTCGAGATGCTATCGTGTTTTGTTATGCTACCAGGAAAAACGTATTTTGCTGATCTTGTTATTGTTAGCCAACATTCACTAATAATAAACCCTGGAGCAGTAAGTTCACAAAAACCTCCCATTATTTTGTTCCTGGCGTGAACCGTAAATTGATGTGTTCACCATGTGTGCAAAGATGTTCTAATGTTACCCGGTAGTCTTGTAGATGTCTATCTACATTGTCTGTTCACTCAGTAGGTAGTAATGCTCCAAACAGATCTACTGTCTTAACTTTCATAACTACAGCGAAAAAATAAAATTTGAAGCTATGGTTTACAAAGGCCAGAATACTGTACAGGATATCTGGGTTGGAATTTTATTACATGCAATTTGTCAAAAAGCAATTACAGTAAGCATCTACAAATCTTTGTCTATGATTGCAAACTTCAGTTTATTACTACAGTTTATTTTTACAAATGATTTCAATGTTATGATGGGATGGGGTCACAATGACACATTCCTCATAAAATTGAAGAGTAATGATAACAACATATGCTTGTATTACGAGCTAACTTCAAAGTATATTGCAGCGACAAAGATAAAACATTGCCACAAGAGGTTTGACTACTCCATACTCAATTGAACAGATAACAAATATGCACTGAAGTTAGCCCCTTTGTTTGGCAAAGTAGCATAACCCCATTTTTAAACCAGAATTCTGTTAAAGTTGTAATGAGTCTTCCAATCTGGGTATTCCAAACATTTTCTTTACTAAATTCCCTCTCCTTACTTTTAATCCCATCTCTACACGGCCCTTCATCAGCTTAATGACAAGAAGGGAATGTTGTGAAGTACAGGGGTAGATAACAGGAGAATTTGTCACCATTCTCATAATTCTATTTTCCATTTTCATCCTTTTTTCATTAACTTTTTACTTAAGATTGGGCCCAGTTTCCCATTTTGTCTCCTCTCAGAAATGAATTTATAGAACTTCCTCCAAGTTGGATCTATCACCCTGGTTCATAATCAAACGTCACATGATCAGGAATGCTAGGGGTGAGTTCCAGTTCACATGTTATCAAATGGAACAAGATTCATCTGACATCATCAACTATAAGAGCCCTGGATTATGGCATGTTGAATCACCTGATAACAACATCATGGGAAGCTGCTGGGAAACTACAAGAGGGAGGGGCTGTTGAAAAGATACTGCCCAAAACCTGTAGGATCCTTTGCAATCCAAATATGATTAGGATATCATGCCGTCTTATCTTCCAGGATGCAGATATAATATGAGCATTCTTTCACAAGACTGCAATGCACATCATGATTAACCATGACATCTCATTTCTTCTCAGCCCTGAGGTGAAACAGAAAGATGCTATGAGCATCAGAACGGCGATGCAGGTATGACAAAGAAGTTTTGAGTACATGCTGCCCTTTCTCATCCAGAGCTGCTATGGAGACATTACCCTGAAACCATGTTGAGGACATGAAGGAGACATGTAATACTATATCAAGGACCCTTTAAGCCCCCATATCCCTCTATTCCCTAGATGTGATAATATGACACTTGGGAGGGGTATGTACATGATTTTGGTGCAAAATAATATTTGAATCATTTTAATCACAATTCAAATCTACATTTATATCATAATTGTATTTATGTCATTACCATACATTATGCAGTTCTATAGCCAAACTGAATCGACATTGAAATTGTGTAGTTATTTGCTGCTGAGTCAGCAAAATTCTATTTGAGACGGAGCACTCACCACATAAACTAATTGCTACAATCTGGAACCCAAATACCCCTACACATGGCAGGAAGATGTTACCCCTAGCCTGTATTACCATTTGTTAGCCTGATTGGCTAAATTTCTTTTACAATATCAGACTGACGTTCTTTGAAGATTAGAGGGGGTGGTGAACTTGCTAATAAGCTTTGTCTGTAGGGTACAGCAACCCAGCTGGGATAGTTAGCAAAAGAACAGATTGTAATTAATCAAGGAGAATGAGCTGAATTTCTATTCCTATATTCTAAGAATGCAAAAGCCTAGGTTTATGTGATAAAGGGTGCAATGTGAGACATGACTATGATCCCTACGTGCTTTACTGAAGGACTCCAACATATCTGACATGGCAGAGATTCTGGGGGAAAAGACATATAATTTGTGTATGTTTTATGTTCATAGTAGGATATGATGTGCCAGCTGCATCTGTGTTCAGTATTGCCTCTCAAAGAAGAGTCCTTCCAGGGCCTTTAATGGCTTGTCTCCTGACTTGAACCACATAATCATGAAAAGATCCATATACATAAACAGATATATTATCTTAACTTCACTAAAGCATATAAAATACATAAATATGATTTGAGATATTTTGAGGTATCTCAAAACAAAAACGTGATGATTTCAGCTGTTCTAAAACTGTCAGTTCAGGCTTATAACTTCAGTGCAGTACTGGCTAGTGTAACTATACTGGGCACCCCTAGAGGGATCACCAGATTCCTAAATGGGGGTTTCATTCATCTTTGCACGCTCGGTCTTCACTGCGTTCATCGACCGACGGGAGCTGAGTGAACGAAGATGGGTTTCGTTACAGCTTTGCCTCTTAAATTTTAATATATGCAGTGTAAAACAGAGGCCAGTGAGTGGTGAATGATAACAAACGTTGATATTTCAACAGTGAAACAAGCCTGAGTGGCTCATACAAGATGTGGATTGATAGCATTTATCTGCACATAATCCTGGCTAGACATGCTATCTCTGGCCTCACTGACAGGGGCTTGTATCTACAAGTGTGGGGATTATGATAGTAGACAATTAAGAAATCTTAAAACCACTGGACTTATCTCCCACATAGTTACTTTAGCAAGGATTTCCTAATTACCCTGATAAAATGTTCAATGTTAAAAAGTTCTCAGAGAGGAAATAGAGAGTACTGTACCATGAAACATATATCAAAATCAATAACTTCACAAAGCTATTTTATTTATATTGCATAAAAAATTTAAAATCTAAAACTTATTCCAGCATATATATGTTGAACTTAAATGGTAAAAAGGGTAAATTGAAGTGATCACTTAAAATGCTACAGGAAGCAAGTCCAGATGTAGCAAAGTATGTCCTGCTCATCACAAAATCTCCATTTACTCCATTTAACGCTCTTTCAATTTCAAGGATATAGTCTTTTACCTTACAAGAACATGTCCTTAGAACAC